TTTTTTATATTTTTTAAAATACATATATATATTTATTTGTATTTTCTACATCTCTACTTTCATATTTCTATATCAATTTCTCCTAAAGAACCGATATAGAATATTTTTTGGAGACTTGTGTTCTTTTGTACTTCTATATCAATTTCTCTTAAAGTACTGATATAGAATCTTTTTTTAAAGACTTATATTCTTTATATATTTTTTCTACGTCCACTTTTATATTTCTATATCAATTTCTCTTAAAGAACCGATATAGAATCTTTTTTCGGAGATTCATGTTCTTTATATCCATTCTCTTCTTTATACTTATTCTTTTCTATTTTATCTTTTGCAAAAATATATATTTGAATATATATTTGAAATATATATATATTTAAATATATATTTTTACTTTTTTCATATTCTATCTCATATATAAATACATGGTAGGCTTTATTGGATGGGTACATACTTTCTTTAAATCAGATAAAATATAAAAATCCGGTCGGGAAATTAAAATAAATTTAAAATAAGTACTTTTTAATTTTAAAACAACTGTCCCTCGCGTAAAATATTTGATAGGTTTTAAAACTTTCCAAAGTAGGTAGGTAAATAGGTATCTGTGTAGGTAGGGATGCGTATCTACAAGCGCTTGTAGAAAATATATTAGGCCGGGTAGGTAGGAAATATGGTAGACCGAATAAGTAGGAAGAAATCAAAATGTCAAATTAGGATCAAGGCTGTTATGCAGCTTTAATCCTAATTAATAACGCTAGTAACGTTTAAGATATGTCAGATGTCTAAGATAGGTAGGTAGGTAGGTAGGTAGGATTATATATAAAACTATTTATATTATATTGTATAATATTGTATTATATTGTATTGTATGTTATATGTAATGTGTAATAGAATTGCGCGTTCTATTGTAATGTATAAAAAAATTGTAAAATAAAACTTGGAAATAGAAAACACACTGATAAAGAGTTTTAAATAAAAAAGCAAAAGCTATATTTCTTGGAATTGCAACTTTTCAGACATTATATTTGTGTACCGTTTAAACACCTTTGTATAATATACATTTTTTGTGTATTTTGTATATATATATGTAGTGTTTTTAAGAAAATAAAATAAAATTTATAAAGCACAGAGCAGCAAATGATGATGTAAAAGGAGATGATATTTGACTACACTCCACGAATTCTGATGTTGCTCGCTAAAATGATATTCTTTTCTTGACTATCACATCTTTTTTTGTATATCACATTTATGTTGTACGGAAAGTTGCAATGGTTTTTCTTATCTTTTTCTGTTTTCCTTTCTCATCTTCTCATCGCGAGATCGGTCATTTTAAATTTCAAAAAAAATCAAATTCACGTTCTCGAATATACTCACACACTTAAAGAAAGTGACCATTTAAACTCGTGCACATAGCACAGAATAGAACCGCACGCTGTGGACATAGCGCACCGACATGTCGCTCGTGGACTGGCTGCGTAGTTCCAATGTGTACCACCCGTGGACATGCGCTAGTTTATGGGGCGGAAAAGCGATTACACATTCTCTTATGGATCTGGCCGCTTTCAAGCTTTTCTCTGGTGGTAGAACTGCATATGATTCTCTGTTGGATTATTGTCTGTTAGCGTCGAATTTATTTTTATTGCAAAACGTTTTATTTGTCATCTGATAAAAGATTGACGCAAACATACAAAAATGGCAGATGCGTTGTTCTCAAAGCCACAAGAGACCGAACCATTAAATTACACTCAAGGTAAGTGCTTTAGCCGTTAATCTGTTAGGTTAGATACAATTTGTGTGTGTTTACATACAGTAGATAGAAAAAAATACAAAGATTGAGAATTGAAGCTGCTGTATATCATCATACAATTGTCACGTACACGTGTGTAAAACTAATAATCAATAAAAACGTTCGATATTTTCTATAGAAATTCGGCAAATGATGCACGGATTCGGTGACAGTAGCGAACCGTTAGATGGTTCTGTTAAGATCATAGAAGATGTTGTGCTGCAACAAATGAGAGCGATTGTCAGGAAGGCGTGTGAAATTGCCGACAGACGTGCCGGTTCGAAGAAAACAAACATTATTCAGGGTGAAGATCTTCTGTTTTTATTGCGTAAAGACAAGATCAAGCTTCAGCGTCTTGTGAAATATCTCGGTAATGTTTCAAGCTAAAGTTTTTGAATGAATTGTCGCATTTTGCGAAGTTTCGATCGCATTTGTCACATCTCTTTTTCAGAACTCAAGGAGATTGGGAGTTCGGTTCAAAAACTCATGAACGATATGCCTCAAATCACGGATCCTGATCAAACGGACTCTGGCAAAAAGAAAGTGCCATTTCAGAGTTTTCTGGAGGAGATCGATAATACTGGCGAACTTCTTGAAAATCCATCCGTTATGGACGAGGTCAAGCAGCGGAGATGCTTGCGCGCAGATATCACCGCGAGGAGCATGGACGAGATACGTTATATTAAATTTAGCAGGGCGCGTCGCGTGTCTTTTTTGAATAAAAATCGTCACAAATTCAGCGATTGGATCGGAACGGATGGTAATATGTTTTTTCTCGATTAGCGTTATAAAAATTTGAATTATTTTCCACGTGTACGTTTATCGTGTATATATTTGCGTTATATAGATTTCACCCTGTCGAAGCAAGCGTATTTGATTCTGGGTTATCTCGCTTACGAGACGGTTGCTCAGATTATCGATCTTGCTTTCATAGTGCGGCAAGATCAAGAGAAACGAAACAGTGACGCCATAGAACGCCAACGGCTTCATTTTGTTAATCCGTGCACATACAGGCCGTATTATCACAACAAGGTACGTATCGCAGTGATGGAAGAATGTTTAATCGGCATCAAGCAGTGTAATGACTGCTGTTGTTTGCGTCTTCACAGAATTTTGAAACACGACCACTAACACCATCGGAAATAACTGAAGCTCTTAGAAGATACTGGTCTCCGCAGCTGGACATGACAGGTCCGTTTAACAGATGGTTGATGAGAAAATCTCATTTAAAATTACTCTCATGCTAAAAAGATTTGAGAGGTAAGAATCTTATGTAAATATATAATTCTATAATATTAATAATCTATAATATATCCTTTGAAAAATTTCTATGCGAAAAAGTAAAACAATAACAAATACATTGAAGGGAAATACACAACGCGTGCGCAATGTTAAAATTGACTCGCATTTATTGACATTTTCATTTGATCTCGTACATACGCGTTTTATTTGTTTAATACTTTTCTAGTAACTTTTACATACGCGAGACGTCGCTCTCTTTGTTTTTTGCTTTTTTTTAAGGATCTTTTGTTATTATATTACAAAACTGAGTAAAATTGCATCATGCGAGATAATTTTCGAGATTCTTTACGATCCTCTCTATATAATACTTATATCTTTTGTATTTCTTACATTTTGGTAGTGTCCCTGATTATTTTCCGGAGATAAAATACGAGTATTCTTATTTCACAATCGTTACTTGTAACTACTGCGAGACGTGATATATACGTTGGCATTCATTCATTCATATTGTACTTTCCGTAAAATAGTTTTGGATTTCTCTCTTTTTACACAAATTATTACGTACCAATATTTTTGGCGTTGTGTATACTTATTAATATCTTAAAATCTAATTCGCGACGTTCTCTTCATTTTACTTGCAAGTTTCGTACAGCAAGTGAAAACGAATATCTACAAGATCTGTATCTTCTTCAGTATTATTAGTAACTATTGTTTTTGTCTTACGAATTTACACATATGCTAATTTTGTTCCTATATCATGGTGAGAGTAGTGTCGATACTCTTGCCTTTCCTTCCGCGCCGCCGGTTATGCAAGTTCCGGATTGATTGGCAGTCGACCAGTCGCAGCACAGAGTACCCTTGTGTCCTCCTAGTTCTAAAATTTTTCCCTGCGCGCCCGGTGGCATCTAAAAACAAAATTTTACATGTTAACGTGTGTGTGTGTGTGTACACGTCGGTACACATTGTTTTTAGAAAACTGAATTTCGGCATAAATGTCATAAATGAAGAGTAGATTGTACTTTATATATGTTTCCTCCGGTCTGCGTGCAGAGTAACATGTAACTGCCACTCTGATCGAAGGTGAACAGTTTCCCGTGGACGGGATTCTTCTCGATTTTAATTTTGGTCTCCCACAGAATCTTTCCCGAGTGATTCAAGCTCCTTTGACACAGCTTACCGTCCTCGCTTTGCGCGCAGATATTTGTGTAATCGTTAATTAATTCTATGTCAATTATCGGACTAGAGTGGCAGTTGAGATTGTCTATTATCTCGTTCCGTCTCAGATCGTGTATCAATATATTGCCGTTAGACAATCCCGTGATAAGTAATTGGCCGTTGTGGTTGAACGCAGAACATAGAGCGGTCACGTTCTGATCCAGCGGCAGCGTTCTCTCGAGCTTTCTCGTCTTTATGTCGTACAGCAACAACTTGCCCTCGCTGCCGTCCGACACGGAACAGACGAATGTCGACTCCGTCGGATTGCAGATCAGGGTGACGATGCGCGAATTCTCGTGCTGAATGTCCCAAAGCGTTTTGCAGTCTCGGGTATCGTGCAATTGTATTAAACCGTTGTTGTCGCCGTGCAAGAAGTAGCGTTCGTTTTTCGATATCCAGTCCAGCGAAGTGATAGCCTTGTTCGAATTTGCCACGGCGGAAGTAAACGTGGTTACGGTCCTAAGCACATCATTATTGATAGTATGTATATCGATAAGAAAATTTAAAAGATAAAAATGTTTATTACTTCGGTGACGGAATCGGTGTCCACACTTTGATGATACCGTCGGCGTCGCCTGTCGCGACGTACGATCCGCTGGCGTTACTCTTGCACTGAATTATAGAAGTTTTGTGTTCGGTGTACTCTTCCTGTAAAAAAAAAACATAGGCGTGTTGTATTCAAGTAATTTAAAAGTAACAGAAATTATTGAAATCAGTATCGATTAATTTTTCACCTGACTTAGAAGAATATAACTGGAGTCTATCTTTTCCTTGGTTCTTCTGTCGACAGCAGTGTCCATAGAAGAGTCTCTTTTTCTAGAACTACTTAGTCGTGAATCACAGCTGATGCTCCTCTTGGCGACTGCCTCGGACTTGCTGATCGAGTTGACCCGTCCTTTCGTGTTTGTACGTTTCGTCGTGGCCATTTCGGGTTCAGCAAATTTCTTTATGCTTGTTGCAGGTTTCCTACTTAAAACCGGACTGGATCCGCCGCCTATGTTTCTTATGAGATTTCTCAGTGTCTTAGGATTCTCCAGTAACGGCGATTCTCTGTTATTTATGTATCAATGATTATGTCAGACCATGAATCTTTCTTGTTTTTTACAAAGTGCAGCAAATGTGAACTTACTGAGCAATAATGTAAAAATCGTCCATGAGCGGGGGATATTGGGGTGCCGGACCTGGATTCACGTCCGAGATATTTTCTATTTTAACGGACTCGCTCAGTCGTTGCCTCAGCATCTCATTCTCTTCTTGTAATCGTTTTAACTTATTTGTGTCCTCGTCTATTGCGAGTAATGTCGGCTGTGGCATACACTAAAATACAATACACAAGAGTAATATTAAATATTTCTTAGCATCATATTTTGTTCTCTCTATAAGCAAATAATGTAACATAAGAAGGTAATAAGATATTTAAGATAATTTAATTTTAAGTACTGGAAGGTGTACGAAAAAATAAAAATTTATGTTTTTACCTACTTGAAAAATTGTCGCTAGGAAATTGTGTAAAGATACCAACATGGTATCGTGCCATTGCTTACTAAAGTGGACAGAGTAAGTTGGATTTTCTTCTGGATTTTTTATGAAAGGAAAGGCTGTAATACATATTGCAAAATGTACAAGTTATAACTTAAACAAATTTGATTTTTCATATATCTGCAAATTCATAAACAAGTGGAAGACATACCAAACCACTCCTTCCATTCCGAGTGCCCCTGTAATTCCGGCGCCAGTTTAGTAAAAAATTCCTGAATCCTATCTTGCTTGCCATTCACAGCTGCATTCACCAAGTACATTTTTAGCACAGAGTTCTCTAATTTCCTGATTGCGGGAGTGAAGTGACTTTCTAGGCGACAAAACATCCTAGTGTCCAAGTGTCCCCATAGTTCCCTCAGGGATGCCAGATCGTAATTGTATATGTATTGCATCAACTGATCCACTATTTTATCTACCTGTTTGATGAAACACCGCAGATGAGTTTTTAACAGTCAGTCGAGATCATTCTTATACATTACTTGTTAACACAATTATATAGAATCTGCAGATATTTTCTCACATGTGTGTAACAAGATAACATATCTTGAACATAAGTGTGATAAACACATATTGTGCATCAAAAGTGCAATAAACTAAACATTGTTGATAAAAGCAGCGAATGGAATAAACGTTTTGCGCGCGATATGATATTTTTTTTAACAGAAAGTATATCTTTAGAATCTCATTTCGTATTTGTTGTTGTTTTGCTGTTGTTGTCCTTACCCTAAACCCCTTTTCCTTTTCCGCTTTCAGATCATTATCAAAGGCCTTCAGTGTCTGACTAAAACCTCTGAAGAGCAAGTACTCCTTAACTAACTCGTCCACATATTGTATGTGAGACATTTTCCCTCCAATCTTTTTGAAATGTCAGTCGTTCGCACGAGTTGACAGTTGTATGTTGTCATCCTTCAGCCATCTTGGCTCCCCACTAGAGACGCCTGAGCGCAACATGCATCGACGAGCAGCGTTTCGTCTGCCTTCTGCATTATCAGTTTCGATCTGTCCTCCAGTGGAACAATTGCTGTGACCGTTTCATGATTATCGATGCTCGCGTCAAAAGTCGATTGTGCGCCACAATTCAATGCACAACGCATTAACTGTGATATTGTTCCGCATCACGAAAACCTTCAAAGCGCGCACATGCACACAAAACTCAGTCGGTTTTTTCTCGGTTACTTATAGCACGCATGTCAGACAATTAGGCACGTTGAATCCCGCGATGGCCAAACAAATTTTCAAGGGTCACAGCGATCATTATAATGGTCTTACGATTGACTCGGTCGAGGAAGCTTGTGACAATAAAGTATTTACACAGCGTCTCAAAGGTAGACGCATTTTTTTATCCTCTCCTCATTTATATTATACGCACAAATAAAAATGTAAATAAAATTATTTAGAAAACTAATGTGTGTGAACGCGCGTATATGTGCAATGTAAAAATGTGTGAAAGGTGATCTATGATAACATTCTGTTATCTAATTTGCTAAGTCATTCCAAGCAACATCTATTATATAAAGTAGTTTTTTTTTAAAAAAAAAAAAAAAAGTAATTTATAATAAAAGTCATTTGATAAAAGTTTGTATTTTCGCTTGTTTTTATATTTATATACTGCACGCAATAAGATTTAGGGAAAGAAAATAACAATATAATATTGTAAAGTATATTATAACTATCATTTTTTTATATTATAACTAGATAAGAGAGAGAAAGAGAGAGAGGGAGAGGTAGATATCGCACTCTTGCAAATGTTTTAGATTCTTTAGAGCAATGGACAAAAGACAGAAAACGTGCTGTATGGTTTCGCGTGCACATACCACACAGTGATTGGGTGCCGCTTTTGACAAAACAGGGATTTAGATTTCATCATGCGAAAGAAGAATACGTTATGCTATATCGTTGGTTGCCGATAGATGAAGAATCTAACGTTCCAAACTACGCACATACATTCTTAGGTGTCGGTGCATTTGTGTTCAATGAGGATACCGATGAAATTCTCGTTGTCAAAGAGAAGTATGCTCATAAGAAAGCAAATTTCTGGAAGCTACCAGGTGGCTATGTGGAACCAGGTATTTTAATAGAAGTTTAAATAGTAAAGCGTTATATTCCATTCTGTGTATATGTCCCACACAGAATAAAAACTCCATCAGACGTCAACAGCTCCATATCTGATAGAGTCTAAATGGAGTTTTTATTCTGTGTGAGATGTAATTGTGTATATACACGCATACACTTATTAAATACTTATGATTGTTAGGAGAAAATATTGAGACAGCAGCTAAAAGAGAACTTTTAGAGGAAACGGGAATTCAGGCGGACTTCAAATGTCTGATATCGTTTAGACATGGACACGATTTTTTCTTTGGGTGTTCGGACATATACATGATCGCATATTTGACACCTCGGAATTTGGATATTGAAGAATGTAAACGAGAGATTTCGGAGTGCAGATGGATGAAGGTAATCCATGTTATATTTCACACGGTCTTTCTTCTTCGTCAAGTTAAAAATATAAAAAGAATTATATATTGAAAAAAAGCGCACGTACATGATATTATTAACAAAAAGTAGCTTATATAATGTTATGTTTCATCACAATATATAATCAATGCGCTATACATAATATTAACAAAAAGTAGTAGTTGATGTTATGTTTTTATCACAATGTAATAATAAATAGCGCACCGCATTTCCAAATTGTAACACAATCGCTTTCAAATCATTCGAATTTCGCATTCTGTTTAGTTGAGCGAATTTCAACAACATCCAGAAGTACACACGAATAACAAAACACTGGCAACGAAAACGATCAATTTTCTGCGACATCGAATGGGTATGGTTGCAAATTACGGAGTGCATCCAATTACCAAAAAGCAGATATGTGTTTACAGCGTGGAGGACACAAACGCCGAAACTACATCTGTAGACTAAATTATTTTAATAACAAGAAAAAATATATATTGTACATATAGGAGTATTAGAGAATATTAAGAGTACAAAACAATTTTATATGCACAAGCTATATATTCTCTCTTGTTGTGTTATTGTTATATAAATAAAAATATTAATAAAAATAAAGACAAATAATACGAAGTTAAATACTGATTTTGAATTGTTACTAAATAACATTGTGTAAACTAAAAACCTTTTTTACTAATAAAGCAACAACTAAATTAAATATTAATTACACATAAAACGATATATCAATTAACTTCAATTATACTTATTTTATGTTGTTTTACATTCCCATTATCACAAAGAAGAGAGTATCTTATGTTGCATCCCTTGATTGTTCTTGTGAGTATCGTTTGAGCAAACTCTTATTATGCTGTCTCTCAAACCTTAATTTTATCACATTCAGATCTTTTTTTTTTTTTTTTTATATATTGTATGAAACATCTCTACATGTCACAGCATACAATTATTTGATATACTATTCGATTTCTCGTTTTACTTTGATATATATTATAGACATGTATATATATATAACGAAAAATATAGAAATCATTATATATATATAATGTATTAATTCTCAGATCTTCTCATTTCTCAAAACACAAAAATATACGTATGTACGTGGACATGTACATACGTGTGTGTGATTGTATGTAATATATATGTACATATAGTCATCTATGACTATATATACATATATGTAAATAATAATATACATATATATAAATAAATGGAAGAACTTTGCAAAATTCTTATTTTAATAAGACTCGCGCTTAGAAACTATACTATAGAATTTAATGTGATGAGTATTGTAATCGCAGCCACAACAAGTGGTATACACCAATAATAGAAACCTGGATGTGGAGCTGCCATCGTCATGAGAATAAGCCAGCTCACGAAACGTATCACACTGCTCACTAAGAGCGAGCGATTGCCCTTATGATACCTAGGAGGAGATATTCGTATAACATTTGATGTGCTACACGCAACTAATATTACCCAACTTGTAAGAAGTACAGGATCTTCCATGATGAGCTTCATATCATAGCTGGAAGTATAAATGCGTTATCGTTGATAACGAAAATTTATGCGATTTTATGTATTGTTTTTGTTTTTAAATACCTGAAATTTTTCGCCCAAACTAGAACAGATGGCACTGCTGGTATTGCAACAAAGACCCACAATAAAAATAAAATAAGATGATCGTATATCTTTTGAGTGGGACTTTGATCGTCTTCTTTGTTTTCATTTCGGTTTCTCAAATGTTGAAACAAATTGAAATGCTGAAGAGAAGCCACTAACACTTCCCCGAGGCAATCTTCGTACATCGTTGTTAATTTCAGGAAGGAAAGAAATACTGAAATAAGCATGGCCAGAGCGCCGCACGTTGCCGGGATTATGGAGAGTACGAGAATGGTTGTGATAAACGGCAGCTGATTCAGAATATTCAACAACCAATCCGACCAGGTTGTTGAATAAGCTATTGCACGCGATAAAAATCTAAAACAGTAAATACACATGTTTTAAATTCTCCTCCGCATTACTAATTTTTTGTTTTAATTAATACGAGAATGGAAATTCGCAACGTATCAGTATAAAAACTTACGTGACAGCTAGTCCGTGTGCGCCGTAACCGAGAAATACAACGGAAAAACATACAAAAATAGTAGCTAAACTAATAACACACACTGCGATACAGATTTCGTAGATGACGCCGAATAGAACAGATAATACAATGGTAACAATTATTGTCGGTAATACGTCCGAACTGTTCACTCTTCCGGAAACAAAAAGTAAGATTAAACTAATAATTCCCAGATAAAGTGACGGCCAACGATCCCGTATTCTGCAAGCGATTCTGTCAATGATTCCTGAAGATGTGAGTTTAATCGTGTAAATGCACTCTGGATACAACGTCAATCGCAAAACTGACATTTCATTGCGATGTTCCCGCGCATTTTGCAGCTTCATTACTTTTGGACCGCTATCCCTGCATCATCGTCATACAAAATTTTACATGTAAACAACAATCTTTAGTTTATGTGAAAGTTGGATCGTTCGTCAAAACACACTTACGTAGTCGGGAAAAATGTCACTTGAGTGAATCCTGCATTCCACGGCTCTATTAGTTCTACAATGGCTGATTCCGAGCAACCCGGTGATTTCACTTCGACCGCGATCGCGTTTATGAGATTCGAAAACGGCACGTGATATCTTATGTCTCCTATAACTGTTGTAAAACTGGATTCGCGAAATCCGATAAGATTTGTGAACCCGACTCTACTTTCCACAGGTTTGACTCTACTGGAGTAATAATACGGGTCGAACCCGACTGTGAGATCGTCGTCCAAATCGTCCGGAGTTACCTTTACGACAGCGTGCGTGACGTTGAGATGACTTATAGTGTTGTAATCCAAATCGACAGTTCTCCTTGTCCGGAAAAGGTTATCCGGCAAAATTCTCGTCTTATTTGTTAAATTCCAACCCCATTCGCTAAAGCAAATTCAATTTGTCAGTAAATAATAATTTTCTCTAGTAGCACGGTATCGTTACGTAAATTACATGTAAACTATATTACCATATTGTTCTGTTGTCTTGTGTCTCGGTCGGCGTACATGCGAACAGCCAATTTCTGTCTTCCAGATTTATCGTGTCAATAGTCAGAACGTTGGATTCGTAAAATAGTTTCACAACAAGATATATAGTAGACGACTTTTTCAATAAATTTTTGTTGTTCCAGACGTAATGTTGAGGTTTGATGCTCACCCATGTTCCGGGAGCGAATTTAACTTTATCCATGTAAGGATACAAATTTTTGCCTGAAGTTAACTGAAATTGCGTCATTGTACCGGAATCGTACATAGACCTCGCACAGATCAGTGAACAATTAAAATTACTCACTTGCAGAAAGTTGTAGGATAGCGCCCGCATCTTCAAATCCGGATCCGATGTAATTTTAAACGGCCTCTTCGAAGTGTCCACAGAATCGAATAAAGAACGCACGATCACGAGCACCAGTTGCTTGCACCACAAAATACTCAAATGATCGGTGGATTTCCAAACGGTTGGTATACTCGTGGAGAGAACGTTTATGTCCGCTGTGAAGTCGAATGTCTGCTGAGCGGTTACCATTAAGTCGCGTGGCCCACCTCCTATAGATACCACCTTCACTCCCGCATCTTTAATCTCGTGTAAATGATTTTTCAGTTCGTGATAGTAATTGGCAAACGTGCTGTCCAGAAATACAGACGGAACATTCGGAGTTGCCAGGTTCACTATCATACTTGCAAATGAGGCATTAACGTACGGTGTTAGCACGAGAGCTCCTTTAGCTATGATACCACCCTGAGAAAAAGAGATCGATGTCCAATTAATTTCTTAGTCATATTTTTTTTGTGTAACACAAAAGATATAATTTATATTTCTTCATACCATGGAATGGCCAATCAATATAACTTTATCCATTCTACCTCTGTACAAGGATAATATTGTCTCGATACAATGCGAGACGTATACAGTTTGTTCCAGAAGTACACCTTGTATTAAGAAATCAAAAATATGACAGTTAATATTATGGATACGTATATATAATGTGACATATATAGACTTCATTATATATTATCTGCATTATTTATACCTCCATAGATTGCGGAAAGATCCTTGTTGAAAGAGATAGTGAAAAAGTCAAAGTGAAAAGAAGTACTTTTTTTTAGACTTTTTCTTAAACTTACTGAAGCAATAGATCGTACTAAAAGTAAAAAATATTCGCCATATACATATATATTGATAACATAATATGACGTGTGTTAAAGGATTTGATAAAATACAAACCTTGCTCATGAGAACCAGCGTTGCCTGGTATAAAAAGAACTGGTATTCCAGAAACAAACATTCTTCTTAATTTTTCTGTCTGTTGACCTTCCCCATAGGCATATAATCCAAATCGTGGAAACTGTTTCTCTATATCATTTCTCAAAGATATTCTCTGAAATATTTTTTTATTTTTTACAAATTACAAAATATTTTAACGCGTAGGAGAATTGTATAATTTATATATGTTAATAAACAGATAGGAGTAAATTTATTTCGTTATTTCTCATGTATAAATTTACTTGTTTACATATGTTTAAATATGTTTAAATATGTTTACATACCACATACTGCGGGTACTCGAACATGTACGTCATCTCGCATGTATTTTTCTCAAAATCGGTTAAGTAATTAGACAGTCCAAGAATATAAAGCGCAAGAATCGTCATGAAAATTTGTATTGTTAAAATGACGATTGTTACATGTTTCATTGAAACCATTTTCGTATACTTGTTTACGTCTCCTGAACGATAAAACACGAAAAAATAAAAAGATATTACTATTATTAATATTTGTAACACAAATTTTCACACAATCGTTTTATTTTTTATTGTTCGGTGTTTTTTTGATTGATTATAGAATATAAGAATAAAATTAAAATTATGTGTAGTAGCGTATTTTTATAATATTATTATTTTGCCAAAAGATATAAAAAGACATGTAATCAAATCAGAATGTGAATATTAAATTGAAACCGGTATTATACTCCGATATGAAGTTTAGGTTTAGGTTACGATTTGCTCCGAGTATGGATCGACAAAGATTTGAAAAAATTCTTGCGCATGCAACACTCCCGAATTTATTTCATAAAAACTAATAATAAACAGAGATCGGATCGTACACGGACTGTATGACAATACAATACGAGACGAGAACACATTGGAAACTGCGGTTGTTTTTGTTGGATCTCGGCCATAAAACGTGCAGATCTCTAGCGCTTCTTGCCCTTCCAAAGCGCAATAAATCTTGACTGAGAAATAGCGATGATAGAACAATTATTTTTATTCAATCGCGACAGAACAATTATTTTTGCTCAATCACAAGAAATTTTACATCTAATGTGTAAAAGACGATTTTTTATATATTAAAAAATTGCTTCATACAAATATGGGAGATACTTAAAACTATTAAAAGGTCACCTAGTCTATACACATTTTTTAAGAATAATAAATACATATATGTATAAAAATGAATAAAAATATTCTACTTGATTGTTTTCTTACAAGATACGTATGATACATTAACAATTATTGTTACTTCAATGCCATAACTTTTTCAATGTGATTCTTTAGGGTTTGCAACTGGTCCATTGTTTCTGGATCTAATGCAGGAATATGTGACAGGCGTAATCCTTCTCTGGGTAACAAGGACATTACATTGCCGTCAGCTAAAGGTACATTGATATTGGCAGTTTTTTCCTCCACAACAGCAGAAACCAACAGTGGACTTCCTTGCATGCTGAGAACCATTTCACCTTGACGCGGACGTCTCAGAACATTCAGCGGTGTGTTAGGTTTGACCTTTGGTGTGACCACATCGTACATAGTGTGGTCATGCTTTGCTGCTGGTGTTTTGAAGTTGTCCATCTCGAATTTGTTCAAGTCATTCTTTTTCTTGGTCACTGTCTTCTGATTGACCTCGAGTAATTTTGCTTTTGCAGTACTTGCTCTGGTAGCGCTGCGCGTCCTCCTTGTTGTAGATACTAGTGTCTGGGATTTGACATTTTGCGATGTGGTGCTCAATTTGGTTCCTTCCGATGCGTATCCATCGTCAGATATAGTTGTGCCACGTTTTCCAGCTTTACTTTTTCCTTTGGTAGCAGGTGGTGGCATAATATCGCTCCCAACAGACGAGCTCACCAGATTGTTCTGATTTTCTCTCTTCTGATTCTCCTTTTCCTCGTTACAGTCGTAAGCCAGTATCTCGCCCAGTGTCATTTGACGTATCTCTTGAGGTAGGCGAGAAATCATAACGTCAACAAAAGTGTCGAAGCTCTTGAGGTCTGCCTGGGTCTCGCGTTCCATCTTGCTAATGCGTAGCTTCACATGCCTATCGAAGGTCTGCAACATCAAGTCCAGTTCCTTCGAGTCACTCGTACCTTTGGATTTATTATGATACTTGGTCCGCGGCATCTTGTAAGAGACGCTTCTCTTTTCACAGGGAATCTGTAAGAAAACCACTGTAAATATTCGACGTGTTTAACGCTCCGTCAGCCTCAAGATTCTTCGACACGTCTCGACACGGACTCTGTTGTTCAAACAGCTAACCTGTCAAACGGGCATTCGTCAATCAGCCAGATTTATCTTGAGAACAACCGTTTGTCGGTTTAAACACAATTCGTCGCCATTGAACAAGTACGAATCAAAAAAGGCGGGAGCGGGATGTTGAAGTTTGACAAGACACCAACTGTGTAACACGAATAATCACTATGAGAAAGGCACTAAAAACAATATTCTAGAGTCAGTTTTAAACTCCGGCCGATTAAAGTGATTGGTCAATTTGACTAATCGATCAATGTGATTGGCCAGTGCAAACAAAATAACCGGTCGATTGGTTGAAAATGATGAACTGGCTTTAAAGCCAGATCCAACGCCATCTAACGACTGGACAAATTCTTGCCGATCAAATTGCACTTTTTCCTTGTGCAAAGAATGGCGGTTGCATTCCATTTCCGTTTGAGTCTTCGAAGATGGCGAGTCAGTAAAGCCACGTGAAGAGCACGTAGATATGCGATCAAGCTTTATCCATTGTTCTTTGTCACTTCTTTAATATTTAAATATTATATATTATTTACTATAGATTTAGAATTTAAACAAACAAAAAAATGAAGCGGAAAAGTTTAGATCCGGTAGTTCCTCAACAAAAACGAAGACGAAAAGATGACGCCAAAACGCAGGAGAAATCATCAGAGTCTGATCCGGAAGAAATAAACTTGTCGAAGAAACAAATTTTGAAATGCATTTCTGCGATTTTTCATCTGACTCAGGAACAGTTAAAAGACAAGAATATTTTAATTGAAGAGGCCCAACCTATATTCTTACAAGTAACTTGTGTGCGAGTCCCAAAAGTACCGCTCAGACAATTGAGAATGTAAGTTTGTAAAATCACCATTTTTTATACGCATATACATCTGTACAAAATAATAATACTTAAGAAATCAAATATTATAGGAAAGTTCACTCAATTTGTGTATAGTTACACTTTCACATGATTACATTTTATTATTACCAATGGATCCTTATGAAAATCCTGATTACAAACTTTCGAATGATAATATCTCACAAGCGCTAAAATTTTTTATGTACACTTCCGATAAAAGTCTAACAATACTTTTTTTCCATTTTATTGCAGATTATTGCCATATTCATTAGTAACGCCAACTGACGAAGTCGCACTGTTTGTATGCGACTTGCAGAAAGGAAAGAGAAAAGACTATGAACCGACAGTGGAACATTACAGAGACTTGCTGGATAAGCACGGATGTACTCGTATCAATGAGATAATACCTATGAATAGAGTGAAGACCGAATTCGATCAATTCGAATTGAAGAAAAAGCTCTTAGGTAGTTACGATTACTTTCTGGTCGACGGTCGCATCGCCGGTCACTTAACTCACTTGTTAGGAAAGTGTTTTGTCAAAAAACGAAAATTGCCCACTTCTATCAAGATGCAGAGCAAGGATTTGAAACACGAGATCGATTACGCATTGAGGAAAACAACCATGCGTCTTCACTCTCACGGTGACACTCATGTAGTTCAGATAGGAAACACCTTGATGAAAAAGAAAAGAATACTAAAAAATGTAATAGCCGCTTGTGAAAGTTTATCCAAGAATTATCCCGGTGGTTGGGCAAACATACAAGCTCTCCGATTGAAAAGCCCAACCAGTTTAGCATTACCCTTTTACATAACACTGAGTAAGTTATTACTAACAAACTGTATAGTTTTTAAATGCTGTAACTCTCTCTCTCTCTCTCTCTGTATGAATTATTTTCTTATGTATATAATTGCACTTTTTTACATGATTACGTTTAATATTACCAATGGATCCTTATGAGAATCCTGATTACAAACTTTCGAATGATGATATCTCACAAATGCCAAAACTTGTTACGTACACTTCTGATAAAAGTCTAAATACTTTATTTTTAAAGAATTCTTTCTTCGAAAATTTCAGAGAGCAAAAACACAGTCAAACCACAAACAACTGTGGTGCAACCTAAGAGACCGAAAGCTTACCGCGACGTGGAAGGAGAGCTGTCCACATTTATAACCGACACCAAGGTCATAGTCAAACCTGAGGGAGACGTCATCGTCGTAAAAAAACGCAAGAAAAAATCGACAAAGGATAACAGCGAGGACGAAGACAGAGATTAAAAGTCAAGAATTGAAGAAAATTCTTCTGTTGCTTTATTTAAAGTCTAGTAAAAAAACAAAACGAAAAAACATTTGCGCTTCTCTTTCTACATTTGTAACATATATACAATCTATACGTTTAATATCAAGTTAATAATATGTTCTGTTATATCTTACAACCAATCTTTTTTTTTCGTCATTGCACCTGAGATGTTAAATATATATAGCGTACGTGCTAGTTCTTACAAATATTGAAAACCGAAAAAAGAAGGCTTCTCTTTCGACACAAACGTGCATCAGTACAAGATGGTCTGATCTTTCTTGGATATACTCTGATATCCGTTAGCAGGCAATACGGGCAAACTGTTGGCGATTCCGTTAGCGTTTTGCATGCTTCTGTAGACGTTCGTCGCATCCACAACCACTTCGATTTCTTGGAAATCTTGAAGTCTCTGAATATCCTTGTCTTTTCTTAATACAGTATTAGGCAATTTCCGTAGCTTTTGAACTTGATGCGGATTGAGCTCCAGCTCGTTGCAGCACAGACTCAGCAGAGCTTGGTACGTAAGCTCGCAGCGTGGCAATTCCACTTCCACAAAATCCGGATCCGCTGTGTTGGCAACTCGGATTTTCAATACCAATTCTAAAAAAAGGACGTAATAGATATATTACAATATATTAAAATAATCACAAAATAACAATCACTTGACAGTCACATAAATTTTCTGCAAAAGTGGTCTATATTGGAGATTTGTGTTGATTCAGACTGAAGTAGAATTTCTCTTGCAAACTATTATGTTTAGTTTTATTCTCTCTATTAAAATGTTTTTTCAACGAGTGACTGTTGAGCGATCGAAAAAAGTGCTAACACGCGATATGCAAACCATCTGGAAAAGCTGTATTGGATCTGCAGTCGTTATTATAAATGTTGTTCCTGGCTTCCGAAGGATTCATGGCTGCGTGCCGGCACTTGACGGTGTTTGATGATGACATGTCACTCATAAATTAAGCTACACATTGGAAGCATCACGCGAACACTCTGAAAGCGTGAGGGAAAAAAATAATGCGCGGACTGTTCAATTTGAAACGAATAGGTATTTCGAACGAACGCGTCAGACGTTAGCTTTCGAAACAAACGAGCGGAGAAAGTGAGTCGAGTGAAAATTAGATAAGTGAATTCGCATCAGGAAAATTACCTTCGCTGGCGTCACGTAAAAACTGTCAAAAAAACTTAATACGACAATAATCATCCAGCAACGGGATTTTGCGCACGTGAACGACCTAAAATTGTGAGAATTTGCACAGCCTTGGTGTCATCGTCGCTTTTCTTAAAGCCGCTTTTCGAGCAGTCTTTTCATTTTTCAGCGAACTACGCGCTGCGTGCTATGTTGCGTCACATCTTTTTCACGTTTTTCAAGTCAAGAAAGAGTCGTTTCGTCCCTCGAAATTAACAGAGAACGACACAACGAATCGACAACAAGAGGAGGTTGCAAAATATATTACAGATGATTCATACGCCATTTACTTCTTAAGTTCGTATCAGATCATCGCACACATACATTGAGATCATTTCCGTTAAAATTGATCCAATCACGATTAATCGGCTGAATTTTCATACGCGAGATATACAGAGAAAGGGTAAGATTTGTTGTTTACAACATTAATGTCCAATGAAAATAGTTGAACATTGGCCACGTTCAGCGGACTGATCAGATCAGTGAACGCTTGGTGATTCTTTAATATGATTGAATCTTGCCTTTAGATCTTACCTGGATCTAAGTGTAGAAACCAATCATATTGAAAAATTACCAAGCGCTTTCTGATCTGCTCGGTCTGCTGAACGCGGTCATTAAGACCGTCTCAATCGTGATTGGACGACTCGGTCGATGCGATTGGTTGATCGCGCGGGTTGTCAATCAACCGAGCAAATCGATCGCAGTCGGTCGAGTCAATTTCTTATCTTCACGACCAATTAGCGCGCGCATCACGGTACGCGCAGCGCGAGGCTTAACATCATCGTGAACGGAACAGTGGTTGGTATTCGTTTCTAGCTCTTTCATCATCATATGTTTTCCGCACACTGTCGCATGTTGTAACGAGCTGTTTAAGGCAGTGCCGACTCATCGCCGAAAAAATCTTTGCCAAAACACCCTTGTATTCTTATCGCGGGCGAAACTCTCGGGGATTCAATTTCGCAATTTTGCTAACGTACAGCGAACTCACCACCACGGCAATATGATTATAACGCTGAAAAACTTACAGCAGCAAACGTTTACAATAGAGATCGATTCGTCGCTAACTGTGAGTAAAACTCGAATGAGAGAGAGAGATGTTTGAGAAATATAAAATTTTTTTCTAGACCAATTGATAGACGAGAACGTAATCGTTGTTGTGTTTTTAGGTCAAAGATCTCAAGGACAAAATCGAAACGCAAAAAGGCTTCCCCGCGGAGCATCAAAAATTGATATACGCTGGTAAGAAACATAGTTGAAAATAACCTAATTCGTTGTCCGGCACAATATCCAACGACGCCCGATGTGTTCGTTGTACGCGACGGAGTTTGCTTTATTATGTGTTTAAACTAAACGTTGCGTAGCTCACATATATCGAAGTGTATTATCTTGATGATTAAGGGGGTTGGGAATGATTTTGCAAAAATGATCATAGGTTATGTTTCTAATTTTGGCAAAGTGTGATATATATGAAATCTTTTTGTTCTCTTTTCTCCAATTGTAATAATACACCAATGTGTTTGCAGGAAAAATACTGGCAGATGAGCAGCCTCTTACAGAATATAATATCGATGAAAAGAAGTTTATAGTTGTTATGGTAACAAAGCCTAAAACTGGTGCTACTCCCAAAGCAAGTGAAGAGCAACGCACAGAAAGTGATAACAAGGAAGAATCTACTTCTAGGTGAAAAGAAATTTATAAACATTTTATTATAAATGTATGAATATTAATTTTCAGGTATATTTTATAAAATTGTATTAGTTAATAAGAGAGAGAGAAAGAGAGAGAGAGACAGAGAGAGAGAGAGAGAGAGAGAGAAAGAAAAAAAGAAAGAGAAAGAAAGTATTTAAAAAAAAAGATACAAATTATTTCTTTAACTTATTTCTGTGAAGCACAAAAGTCATGTATTTTATTTTTCTTTGTCTTTAGCTCAACTACAACTACACAAACTAGCTCTACTCCTAATACTCAAGAAACAGCGCGAGCAGCTAGTAACGTGCAAGAGCAAATCACGGCAGCTGCACCTGCAGCTGGTCAAGCAGAAAGTGCCTTGCTAATGGGAGAAGATTATAATACAATGGTAAACAACATTATGGATATGGGGTATGTATGAGGAAAAGCGATATTTTCGACTGTTATAATAATTCTTTGTAAATTTGAAATAACATATTACTAATTTTTATGTTAGGTATGAACGTGACCAGGTTGTGCAAGCGTTACGAGCGAGTTTTAACAATCCTGATAGAGCTGTCGAGTATCTTCTGACAGGTATACCGGCGCAGCTGTTTGAGGACCCACCTGAAGATCCACCCGAAGCTCAAGAACAGCTCCAAGAGCAGAATCAAGATCCGTTGGCCTTCTTACGTATGCAACCACAATTCCTACAAATGCGCCAAGTCATTCAACAGAATCCGCAGCTGCTGAACAACCTTCTTCAACAGATCGGATCCACTAATCCTGCCCTTTTGCAGCTCATCTCTCAAAATCAGGAAGCGTTCGTACGCATGCTCAATGAACCTGGTTAGTTTCCTTCTTGCATTTGACTGAGAATTAAACATTGCACTATCTAATTCAATAAAAATTCTTTTGACAGTAGAGCCTGCTACGGGAGCAGGAGCGCGTGTTCCATCGTCCGCGGGAAATGTGGCGTCTGCGACCGCAGCGGCGGCGCCCACCGGCGGAGCTAGCACAGGTGCCGCGGCAAACTTGGGTTCTGGTCCTTTAATTCAGCTAACGCCACAAGACAGGGATGCAATCGACAGGTTGAAGGCGCTAGGTTTCCCAGAACATTTAGTCGTGCAAGCGTACTTCGCCTGTGAAAAAAACGAAAACCTCGCCGCTAACTTCCTACTCTCGCAAAATCTCGACGACTGAATCTGATGCTTACGCGACATTTTTGAGAAAGAAAAGAAAAGTGACAAAGAATGGATGATTGCACCATTGTCATTTCGACCTTTACAATAATCATCTTTACTTTGTATATAGGTATAACACAATATCTATGCTCTATTTTATTTGTTGTGTAGATAAAAAAAACTCCCTCTTCCCCGATGTGTTTCCGGTAAGCGACTGAATTTGAGATAAACGCGGTAATGTAACATTACATACACACAATTCTTCTCTAGAGTATAATTGTTTTTTTCACAACACACACACATACACGCATACTTAAAACAAATTCATTTCATTCATTCGATATATAACACATGTTTATGCGAGAGAAGAAAAAATTTGTTGCTTGTAACGAAGACAATGTTACAAAATTCATCCTTGCAGCCTACGAGTGCTCTCACGAGGATCCTATGTTTCTTCAACACACGGAGCAATATTGTGAGATTTTATATGAGAAAGCCTATAAATTACGTTACAAAATACTGTCGAAGAATATCTTGCAGTAGTTGTATATCGAGGGAGCGCATACGAATTGTAGGTATGTCGCGCCCTCATGTTACAGATATGTATGTTTTATACATATCTGAATGTCTCTACATGTAAGTATAACGGAGAGTACACTTTGTACATTGCATCGGGCTTTCTGATATAAGAATTTATTGGAGCGCATTTGTGTACGTGCGCCTGTGTATATGCATATGTTCGTACTTATGTATGTATGTACAGAACGATCTAGTTTTTTAAATTACATATAAAAAACAAAAACAAAATTGTTACATATACATGAAACGCAACTTTAAAACAAAAAGCTCTGTGTCATAATACAGTCGTAAGAATTTGTCATAAAGCAGAAGAAAAATCACGCCGCTGTCGTATTTTTTTCGTGCATTTTATCATATAGGAGAAACTATTTTTAATCCATTTGATCTCAATGAATAGTGATGCAAGTTTTAATATAAATATTAAATTAGCAGGAGTTTTTATATAGAGATGCTGCACTAGCTAAAAATATATATACACTTTTTTATATCTTATCAAATTATTTGATAAATTACTCAAATTGATTATGTAAATATTAAGTTTTTAGTGTAACTTGAAATTCTAAAAGCACACATTCAGATAATAATTCGCGAACGTATTGTAACTGTTATTAATTCATATATACAACACATGGTATTATGATTGGTTTCTTTTTACAGAATAAAGTTGTATGTAGCATATATATATATATATATATACACATATACATAATATATATATATATATATAATAATGATATATATATATATATATATTTTATATAGATATACATATATATATATACATATACATGTGTTCGCATTAATAATAAGAGTGCAATTAATTTTTGCACATATTGCATAAAATAATAGCATATATATATACATATATATAGACATACATACATATGTACGTACTTACGCATAATTACATAAGCAAGAAAGTTTGACCTCTTGAATTTGTACCATACAGTTACTTATTAAATATCATTAAAACAATAATAAATATTTAAAAAAATTTGCATTACTCTTATACATTTAGTACAAAAAGAATATAAAGAATTATTCATTGGAGAAAGTCTAGTGACTGTAAAACCTCCAATTCATTTGTTATGCTGAATCAAATATTTTATTCCTCTCACTTTTTTTATAAAATATAGAGAATTTATTAATAGAAAAAAACTGCTGTTAAAGGAAAAACACTTTTTCTCTCTCTCTCTCTCTCTCTCTTTCTCTCTTTCTCTTTCTCTTTCTCCGTTGTGTGCTCAACACATTTGTAATACATAGCATAAAAAAAGGAATAAATTACAATTTACAAAAATGCAAGGAAGTCTGTTATGCATTATTGCTAGTAAAATTAATTCTTAAAAACAAAGACAAATAATGCAAATACTGCATATATGTAATATGTTCCTTACATAAATGTGACTGTAATATAAAATTTGTTATATTGACAATTCGCTTCAAGCAAATGTTTTGACATATCTAGAGAAAAGAACACATTGTAAACATGATTATATATAGACTCTATATATAACATTAGAATATATATTTTTTCACAAATACATACCAAAAATATATACAGGAATGTAGATATCTTCAAAAATGTAAAACATCGATATTCTTTATATTATATTAATTCTAGGAAAATTAAAAAATAGTCTTTCTTGACAGTTTGCTAGTGATTAAACTTCACACCTTTACTCTGAAGATCTTTCTTGGCTTCTTCTATTTGCTAAAAAAAAAAAATTGACGGCAACAACAATTATAGTTACTGAAAACAATTATACTCATAAAAATGAAATTTAAACAAACTTGCAAAGTTTAAACTAACTTGTTGAAGTTCAATCGCGGCACTCTCGCATGTATTGAAAGTGAACACTCGGTACAAGACTATAGTAGCTGCATATAAACCAAAGAGAGCTACAAAAATAACTGGAAGCAACAATATAATTTCATGCCATTCCTTCAAAAGAGGAGAGCTGCTTGTAATCACGGCGATCCATATTCCAAAGAATACAGATGCACAGGATAACCATTCCAGCAGTTTTGTCATCTGAAATTGTACAAATTTTTCGCAATCATATTCTTGCACAGGTTGTCGAGAAATCTGTTCTTGTCTTCTGTTACTGTTTATATTGTATATCAACAGTATAAACAATTAGTAAACAAGTTTTCTTGCCTTGTATCTGTGTATTTAATTTAGCTCGAATTATATTTTATTATTAACGCATATAATATGACATCGAGGAAAAGAATAAAAATACTCTTGTGAGAAATATATATCTGATTTAATTCGAATTACATGACACGCAACTTGAAAACACACTGTGCGGCTACATTATAATAAACATAAATAAGGCACAATATTTAGTACATTTTACATACCTTTCTTTAATAAGTTTTAGATATACGTTTAATATTTAATATCGAAGAATAGATTAATACAATTTTCTTTCAATTTTACATACTTATTTAACTTTTGCAAGAAAAATCATATGTGTATTACAGTTTGGTGTGTAAGAACTGCGATAACGTGTGTGTAAGTGGCACCTGGCAAAGAAAAATCCTAAAGGCCCGTTTACACACAAGACTCAGGTCGCAGAATTCAGATCTCGCGGAATTGATCAATCACGTTGGTCAAATCAATCCGCGTGCGTCGATTCGATATTTCGAGAATCGAAATATCGCGCGCTTCGATAACACTCGAATTGGCGGGCAGTCATGGCGAACGCGCGACGCGGAGCGGAACTGCGTTCGATTTGTTCCAGTATTTTTCGCGATTATCATTTTTATTATCATTACGCGCGCAAATATCCGTATCACGCGTATGTCGCGGAGTATCGGATGTTCGCAGTGACACGTGATTAATATTGCGCGCTTGCTCGGTAACGCTATAATCGGCGAGATTACGACGAAATTTATAACGCGGCTGTTCGCGCATCCGCAAAGCGCGCGAAACAAAACGTCGCGATATACGCGTTGCTGCAGCTACACGAATTGTAAGATTTTACTGTAGGATTCAAGTACAGAGCACGCACACAGCACGTGATAAAGAGGAAGTTATTGTCAGAGGTGAGTCAATATGTTGCTTTATATATTAAAAAAGAGTTCACTTTAGAGTTTAAAGTATTTTATTGGTATTGCAACTTTTTGTGGAGAGACATACATATCTTCAACTACTTCTCTACTATTTATACGTGTGTGGGCACGGTGAAACAGATATAACCGACTGAAAAAGTTCGTTTTTTTTTTGGATTCTGTTACTTTAAACTTTATTGATGTTCAAAAACTGTGTATAACAGATAAAACGTGATCGTGCCGACTTGGGAGAAAGAAAAAGTGAGAAAAAAGGAACACAATACTTTCATAGCATCTTTTTTATTTTTTTATTTATTATAGATACTTGTTAAACCAGTATTTATCAACTGGCGAAATCCATCTTTGACAACCAAGCATGTTATTCTGAACCATATATTTCCATGTCCAAGGATGCAAATTGTTCTCTTCCTTCCATTTCTTTCTGGCCGCTTCCTTATCCAAGTCTTCTTGATTAATAGCCTTGGCTTTAAATGGTAATATATTTGCTATTTGCGTCAACACTTTTTCCACCTGAAACAAAAAATTTATGTGTTAAAAATATTTCATATCTTGATAAGCAAATTATCAAACAGAAGGCTGATGAAAAATATATAATAGATTCGAAAAAATGAAATATTATTAGAACTTACCTCAAAGAATTCACAACGACCACCTACTTCTATGATGACTCGTCCCGCTTTCACAGGAGTGACATAGTGATCGATAGAACCTTTGCCACCACCCATTCGCTGACCTTGTCCCTATGTTTCAAAGAATAACTGTTGTATCAATCGGGCAAATTTTTATTCTAGAGAACTCCGAATCAATCCATTGTATATATTTCTTCAAACCTTCTTTGTAACAGGTTGCCATGGTGGGTGCACACGCCAAATTGCAAACATATTTGGCTTAAGCTTTCTCCCAAGTGTTAGACGTATCATCTCAAAGTGACCATGTTTTAATCTACCTCCACCTGTAGCCTGATTCATAAATATAGCAATTTGATTCAGTACTTAATATATTTTGATCACTAAACTTAATCTGGTTGATGTTGGACTCTTACAATAATACCGTATTGTCTATACAAGAGAAAATTGTGCACTTCTTCTGGACCTCTCATGTATCTTAGTCGCCTTTGCATTTTGGGAGGACGCATTCCCGCTGGATATTGAGGAACCTTCTCCATTATTTTGAGTTTTGGTCGCTCAGGAAATTCAATTTCTGAAAATCACGAGTTTCAAATACTTCTTGCAATACTTATGAAGGAAACTATCTGTATATTAACAATGTGTGCGTATTTACCACCGTATTCTTTTGGCGGAGAAAAGACTTTCAATCCAGCTACCTGTGTTACTGATGTAGACTGACATGCTGCAAAAAGTATTATCAAAATGTTAATAAAAATGAAAACAGCTAAAGAAATGAATAATATTAGAAATATTGTATATTAGATATAAAGAAGACTTACTGGAAAGTAAAACTCGCGCTATGTTTCTAGTTATCTGTAGCATTTTTCAGCACAAACTTGAGCTATAAATAACAACACAACACACAAGAACGTCAACGTAATTTTTAATTTTCAGTAAAAAAAAATATTTGTTTTAATTATTCTAATTATTTCACTAAATCATTTGTAACTAGCAAGTAAGTACGTTCTGTAATTTTTTTTTTTACCTATTTGTAGAAATCATAAGATTAGATAGATTAAGATAGATTAGGTTAGGTTAGGTTAAAGTTAGGTTAAGTATGCTAACGTCCGTGTTCCGAAATCAGAGAAGATGCTCATATCACAGACTGCGTTCCGAAATTCATAGTGCAAATTTATTGGTGGTGAATATCGAAACGCAGCCATAGTTACGTCAATTTTTAAATTTTAAATGAAGATAGAGAAAGAGGAGAGAAAGATATTATGGAAGGGAATAATGAAAGAACAATTGCTTTTATATCCAGGATATCTTAGAAGTTGCGTATTTTTTCTGCAAACTAATGAACAACATAATATACACACATCGAGTAATAATTTATTTTTTATATATATATATATATACTATATCGCGTTTTATATCAGAATTACAAAAAAATTAATTACAAGATTAAACGAAGATTCTATATCTTTATGCTGTAATTGCAATTACACATGTTTTACGATTTATTTTCACGAAGTGATTTCTGTGTGATTTCCGTTTTGTATCCAACATCATCGTTTTTTTTTTATTTTTATTTTTTTTAAATTTTATATAAGCTCTCTATCGTGGAAAGAAATCGATCTCGAGAGAAAAGTAGATTCGCTTTTCAAACGTGTTTTCTCATCAATCGATATGAACAAGAAATATAGTGGCCAATTTAAGGAAAAGGGACTTAGTGATACGAGAAGCTCGATATGTTACAATTACAATATTTTTTTTTTTTTTTTTTTTTATATATCTTTGATGACGGTTTGATGGTAACAACAGGTAAATACTACATATTGTACATTGAGTAGGCGATAGTCGTATCTTATTGTTTATAATTAGCGTATTATCGGCGGCGCGCATTGATGATCGACAATGACGACGGCCACGGTAATGACGATGACAACGGCAACGACGACGACGACGACGACGACGACGACGACGACGACAACGACGATGATGGATGATGATGACGTCAAAGACATCCCTCGTGTCTTCAAAGAGATATGGCGCGATCGACACGGCGGCGATGGCAACAGTAGTAGCACAACAGCAGCAATAATCTCAGTACTAACAATAACAGCAACAGCAACGATGACAATAATACAATGATAGAGAGTAGTATAAGTAACAATAATATCAGTAGTATAGTATTAGATATATATGACAATAATAATAAATATTTTCTCTCATCTCATGAGTATCATGGAACACGATTCTGATATTTCAAGCTGACACAACACTTATAAATACGACAAGAACTCTAGCCGTAGATGTCCCCGAACAACTTGTCGGGACACTTATTTTGTAAGAAATGGCGCGACAAAGAGCCGGGACGAAATCTGGTCAATCGATCAATCTTCGTCGGAACGCGAAGTGAGCCACTGCAGTTATGTGTGTATATATGCGTATTATTTACTTTTCAGTCTTCTCAAATAAACATTTACTTCAAGGTGATTCCGCATCGTCTTTTCAACGGCAGAATTAAAACATTGTTCAAACCTTAAATTTATATTTAAAAAATAGATTAAAAATATATACATATATAATATATAGAGATTGAAAATATGTGACATATGAAAATATAGAAAACACTTTTGCTTATTTTCAAAATATAGATTTAAGGCCATTCGAAAGTTCTTTCGTTTAAACAAATACGTAAAAACAGGAGCCAAACGCTGTATCGGCTCCTCTTTTCAGATATTTATTTTATTTTATTTTTTTTTTTTTCATTTTGGAGACACATGTAATAACTCTATTATACTTTCTTCCATCGAAATTTCCGCGTGTGAGAATTGTGTCGCTCGGTGTACATATAAACATTTCCTTCCCTTGTGCTCTTCGTCTCACCGGGACAACTAATGAAACCGTTGACGAACTTCTGTATACCAGTACAATCATCTTGGAATCGTCTAATGAAGGACATCTGCGTCGCGTGAACACCGTTGTCGTCGTCGTTGTCGTCGTCGTGGACGCCGATCACCACTGCCACCGTCGTCGGCGTTCGTCGTCGCGCGAGCGCACAGTCAGTAAATTACTAATTATCGCTTTCTTCGTTTTCTTTTCTCTTCAGTTCCGCGCTTATCACACTTATAATATATATTTATATATATATATATATATATAAATAGGGCGACATGTCGTGTCTGAGGAATGTGTGCGGATGCAGAGTCAGCGATGCGACGAGATGAATCTATCGTATTTCTAGTCGGCACAAGAACTCAAGAAAAAAAGGAGAGATAGGTTTTTTTTTTTGGAAGGACAGTCGTAACGTGCGCGTTCCATTCATTGCTTATTAACACTGATTATGTGGGATAGGAATTTTTCGCGATAGGATATCGTATATGCGATACGATGTTGTAGACAGGGACTCTGTGAAAATATTACCAGAGCGATTCCCGAGCGAATTCACAAGTATTGGATCTATCATTTTCGAAACCGTGTTATTATTTTCGAGAGAAAAGAAAACAAGTGGAGAAATACAAGTGTACTATGAGATAATACAAAAGATGAGCAAACAAAGAGATAAAAAGAAACGAAAGAAAAGACAATGAAAAAAAGAACGAAGTTAACGATAAGAAGACACCACGAGTTTACAAGAGAATTTATATATGATAGAGGAAACCTTCTCTCGGGAATCTTGCTGGATCACATTGAAAAGGATGTACACTTCGCTAGCTTGTTTTGCGACAAATATATCGACACTACAAAAGCGCGCGAGTCTTTTGTTTGAATCGATGATGTGGAACTAGAAGTGCGTATGTACACGAGATTTTTATCTAATACGTATTTACGCGTGTGCGTGTGTACGTGTATATGTGTGTGTGTAACTGGGTGTATAGGGCACCACGCGCGATATTACATAGTACCATATACATGTATACATATACGTATATATGTATATATATATGTATATGTATTACGTATACATGTGTATGCGTGTATGCGCATTATTTAAACATACAAGCCACTGACTCCGGTCGTTCTCAGTAAGATTAAGTAAACGCTATGGCATCCATGATAAATCACCGAGGCGCGCCTTTACATCGAGCTCGGTGATTTAATGATTACGATTAAACGCGGGTCTGTATTCTCGCTCGGTATTCGGATATGATATTTCGTACAATACAAGTCTTTTCAAGCCATGTTCGAGTCTCGCTTCTCCGTCCGTAAAAAAAAAAAACAAAAAAAAAAAAAACAAAAAAAAAGAGAAGAACAAATCAGTCAACGGAGCAATTAGTCGACACTGAACTAGACTAGGTACTCATTATATCTCACATTTAACAATCCATCTTATCGCGTGTGAAGAGTATAATCAATTAGACTGAGCGTGACACACGTAAGAAATCAACATGACCGATAACACAAACTAACGAGAAATAAATAAGTGTTAAACAAAACAAAAAAAACAAAGTCTTCAAACGCGCGAAAATGTTTATCGTGTCACAATTGTTTCGGTGTCGCAATCACTCCGATTGATGTGTTACAGCGTTTGTTTTATAAAGTCTGACAGTTAAGACGACGAGTATTAAGTGCGGGATACGGACTCTTTTTTTTTTTTAGCGGACGGTGACCGCGGGGAAATCAAGATATTATCAATCGAGCAAAGGCAACGTACATTACATATTTTACGTTGATTAATATTATACACACACACACATATATATATATATATATATATAATATTAATCAATAATATCTGTATACATATATTATAGTTAATTATGCTATAAGAGACTAGATTCTTGGCGGGCTGTGCTTTTTTTTTTCTTCTTCTTTTTATCTTACGCGCGTTGTTCCGATTCTTCCACGATGTTGTCGCGCAACGTTATCCGCAACGAAGCGCCACGTGCTCGCCGATCGGTTTGGACGATCATATCACTATATATTTTGTCCCACACGCGATGTGCTAATTATAACACACACACAACTTACAGAGTTATACATACATATTTAAAACGCGTTAGATGCGTACACACGTTGGTTATAGATTTTTTTTCCGGTTGATCCTTGAAGCAGGTCGCTCACTTATTCACACCTGGTCTGCCTTTTTGTCGTCTCGTTTCACTCGATCGCTCTTCGCGGTTAATCAGTTGATATTATTTATGGAAAACAACGAGGCGCGACTACGCAAGCTCCGCAGCTACTCCAGTCGAGGCTCGGAAGAACATTACAGAGGGGATTTTCTCTCTTTTTTTTTTCTTTTCTTTCTTTCGCAACCTTTTTTCTCTAACGTATCGATATACTTTCTTTGTATCTAGGTACAACGCGAATCACACGACGAAAGTGTGCCTAGTGATAGTGAGATATAAGACTTGTTGACTCTTTCCGAAACAACCTTCTTCGTACACATGTCAGATACATGATGTCAAAAATGTTGAAACGTATATATTTTCGATACACATTTCGAATATTGCTAAAAATATTGAACATCTCGCAACGGATTATTGCCTAATAAAGAGAAAGTCTTAATAACGGAATAGATATGTTTCTTTTTTTTTTCTTAAACGAAATGAGACATTCTTCTCAATATCTGTACAAAAACGCACACATTTCGACCAACTCTAAACACGTTATTTTTTTTTTTTTTTACGGCAAATTTACAGTACATATACATTTGATATGACACGCGTATATATATATACAATATACGTAGTACACGTATATCTCATAGCAGATACATCAATAATGGTACCTAGATACAAATATGTTGGAAAGCAAAAAATGCGGGCAATCATAAGATATATCGTATGTGTCTGGATATCGTATTTGAATATATATCGATACACATGAGGGAGAAGGGGAGGGGGAGAGGATAATTTGTCTAGAATTAGTACCTATAGGGTGAGAGATGCTTCGCGCGAGATACACCGATCTCGCAAATCGATGTACACACGCACGCACGCGTGTGTGGATGCGCGCGGTTTCACATATTGATGAAAATTGCAGCGTGATAAAAATTTGTCGATAAAACGATTTTGCAGAATTCACACGCAGAATCTCGTAAATCGCGAAAGGGTAGTTCGAAAACGATTACACTAGAGAATGTCGCAGTGTTACAATAATAATAATAATAATAATAAAATAATAATAATAATGACGTATACGCGTGTCTTTTCATTCGTTCACTTTCTCGATACGTCGATGTACGCGTATGTTTTATTCTTTCTCCTCTCGTCGAACGACACACGGCGTGGAACGATTCTCGCGACTCTCTCTTCTACTTTTTTAGCCATTACAAATGTAACTTCAAATTTGTAAGTCCATATAGTTTTAACATGCGCGCGCGCGCTATATCGCGTTTTATTACATACATAATATATAATATATAATATGTACACCACAGTCTTATACGAAGCAAAATTTACAAACATTACGACGTTACGGTCGATCGAATAAATATCATGTGACCTCCGTTGCGACCTGGTCAAGTTGCAGTCGAACGCTTCGTCTTACTTTGATCGTGCGTATAACGTTTTCGTTTGTGAAAATGCCCGATTGGCAGTTTCCACTCGATGAATTTCTTTTTTTTTTTTTTGAACTCGTTTTTTTAAAGAGTTATTTTACGAAAGCTTAGCTGTATAATGAAGATCGAACGAGCAAGAGCGAGGAGAAACAAAAAAAAAAAAGGATCGATATACAAAATTCTGTGAAATATTAAACCTCTGGTATAGGTTCTCGTTTGTGAGTCTCTCCGGACTCTTTGAAATGCGAAAGTTACTCGCTCACCCGATAAGCGCGAGGTTTTCACGGAGGATTCCGGATATAATTTTCCGTAAATCTTGTACGAGACTATTTCGCGGAATTCGGAATCCTCTCTTCGAATAGCGTAAGTTATGGCACAAAATTCGATGTAGAACATTCGCACAAAGGTATATAAAGTAGAAAATCCTTCGCATCTCATCTTATATGCATGTTGAACACGTACGCGATCAAAATACGAAGGAGCATTTCGAGCGGCGATACTCGTCTCGCGGCCCGACCAGGGAGAGGAGTTCGTGTTAGCGGAGGAAAGATCTTGAGCGAGAGAGATCAAGATGGCACGCGCGGGGTGGAAAGGAGGGGGAGCAAGTGTGGGGATCAGCGACGATCACCGCGCGAAACAAAAGGAAAGCTCGCAGCGAGGAACGGAAACGTTGTGTCGACGGTTTTCGTCATCGAGCGAGCGATTTACCCCACTGGCCACCGACAGTCAGTTTTTTTTTTAATTTTTTTCTTAGTTTTTTTTTTTTTAAAGCCTCTTGCGTGTACGAATAGTGCTCCGACTATTTATTACGCCAGAAAGTTTTCGCGATACGACAGAACACAAACGTCCTCGCGCATGCGTACACGTGTAATGAAAAATATAACTACAGATCTATTAAAAAACATTGTCACAATCCAGAATGGGAAATGGTTAAAGCTTTACATTAAAATGAATGGAACAATTTTGCGAACGAGAAAGAGCAGAGATATATATTGAAAGAAAAAAAAAAGAAAATTGCGTTTTAATTCCTGATAATCGTCGCATATTCAAAACAAAACAAAACAAAATTCTAAAAACAGACAAGAATACACATCTCTTTGCGCGTATGATAAAACAGTCATATATAAATTGTATGTACAATCTCTTCTTATCTCTTATTATCAATTTACGTATATCTCATTAGTTACTTATCGACACACGGGACAAAATAGGACTATTATCACGGCAAATTATATCGTAAATTCACAGGAACTTTCACCTACTGCGTCCGAAAAACCTGCTGGCGGTCGTAATAAATCGTCAGGGGGATTATATGGAATCTTACGTGAAGAAGTTTAGCTTTCTCTTAGTTTTTCATTAATATGAGAGTGTATGTATGTGTGTATGTGTGTGTTTGTGTGTTATTTTTTTTTTCTTTGCGCGTTATTCTTAATGTGCTGCTATAGGAAGCTGACTAGATTATAGTCTAAAATACGAAACGTTCGGGTTTTATCATTGTCCTCGATGTAGCCGGAATCTTCGTTTCCGCGAGAGCTGTCGCGAATTCTCAAAGAGAATTCTCGGACAGAATTCTCATGACAGGAAGCGAAGGAAAGATGCGGCTCGATCGCGCGTCTACTGGCGAGGATCCCTCTGTTCCGTATCGACGTTGACTACTACACGACCTTCGAGAAGGCCGAACTGCCCCACCTAGGCATTCGATTCTTTCAAGTTGTCGAAGTACTGCATGATCTGGTTGTAGTCCATGCCCAAATTAAGGTCGTCCAGCGCGACCGACTCCTCCTGATCATGGGAGGAGGACGAGGCGGAGGAGGAAGCGGAAGAGGAGGTGGAGGAAGCGGACGGTGACGAGGACGGCGGGGACGTGGTGGTGGACGAGGCCGCGCCGCCAGTAGGTGTAGACGAATTCACGGTGGAGACGATGGCGGACGACAGCGGGGTCGAGAACGACGAGTACATTGGATTACCGACTATGGTCGCCCTCTTGATCTCCCGGGATCTACCGGCGTCTTTCGCGAGATGCCTATTGTCGTCGTGATTCACCAGCTCCACAAACTCCTCGTCCTCGCCGTTCTGTTTGTTCGCGTTGTCCACCCGTGGTTTCCCATGCGGCTTGACTATGTGATGATTCGTTTGCTGCAGCGGCTGCTTGCTGCTGTGACGATGATTATTCCCGTGATGACCGCCGCTGCTGCCGCTGGACGCCCTGTGGCGATGCTTACGCGGAGGTTCCGGCAACCGCATGTTCACTCCCGTGTTTCTGTGCGGCGGCACCGGCGGTTTGTAATCCTCGTTATTGCCGTTGCTCACGTTGTTCGTGCCGTTCGTCGTTGTCGTTGCTGTGGTCATCGATGTCGACATCGTGGCCGGCACTCCGTGCGGCGGCAAGGGCGGAGGAATATCGTCATTGCTGCAAGCGAGAGTTAGCAATTACATCAATTACGAAGCTTTCGCACTTACACAAGCAAATATCGTTGTAATTACGGAAAAGTGTTTATTCAATCTTCAAAAACATTTCACGCAAGAAGAAAAAATAATAATATAGATAATTACTCATTCCGCGCGGTGGTCAGAGCTACCATCGACATCGTCGTGGCCGTTGTCGAAGCGGGAGTCGGAGTTATCATCGCGGACGGTTTGATCGCGCATTTCACCGCGGAACTGTTCCTCGCCATTCTGTCCTTCTTGCAGTAAGTCGTGGTGTCGATGGCGCCGCTGGTACTTCCGCTGGTACCGCCGTTGGATCGTTGATTGGCGGACGGTAATTCGATATGATTCGGATTGTCGAAACACGTGCCCAATTCGCTATCGGCTTCGCCTTCGCCGGCTAGCGGATTACTTGTCACGCGTACCTGGCCAGTGCGTACGTTTTAAAATTAGTTTTTTAACGATGATCATCCAATGACAATTGTTAATACAACAATTCGCGCAAGTTATCGCACGACGTACGTACCTGTTGCGGGCCGCAAGCAGCTCGTTCAAGAGTTGCTCGTCCCAGCCATACCCAGTCGTGTGCGTTGGTGGTCGATTCACGCGGCGGTCGTCGGCCGGAAGCCAGCTGGTTCGCGGCAGCGCGAGCTCTCGCACCCGCGCCGGAGAGTACCGGCACAGCTGCACCGGTCATCGGCGAGTCCGGCGGCTGCGGCTTGAACTTGCTGGCGTACACCACGCAGGAGACGACAAAGACAACGATCGCGAAGCAGAACGCCGCGAGCAGCACGTACATCCCGATCTCGAGCGGACTCATACGATCCCCGACGCCGTGGTGTCGCACGCCGACGCCGCCCATACCCCCTGAAGACATGCCATTAGCTATAGCCGTGCGATGCTGCCGTGCCTGCACCAAAGGCTCGTGCTCGTGCCCGTCTTTCTCGTCTTTCAGCGGTAACCCTTTGCACAGAAAAACAAAGAGAGAGAAAGAGAGAGAGGACAGAGTGAGACAAGGTGTTTTGTGCTGAGAGTTGGAGAGCCGCCTGAGAATCTTTTCTTTTTTCTTTTTCTTTTTCCCCTTTCGACCCCTCTAAAGAGCTAGACAGCGGCCAGACATGCTATCCGGGCATGCACAATGTCGAGAGAGGACAACTGAATGTGCACCTTGCGATTTAATTTTTTTATTTCTCCCCGTTGAAACGACTTTATTCAACGCTTTGTAAAAATACAGCGGTTTATATCCACCTCGCGCGATTAATGGAAATCTTAGAGAATGACAAAGGTCGCGAAGTACTCCGACGACCTGTAATAATAACGAGCGCGTTGCGTCGCAACTTATTCTTGGAGAAAGACGCATTTGACATTCAGCACAAAGGGGGAAGACTATCAGTTACGGAAGGGCTAGAGATGGAAAATCGCGGGGAGAGGTCACGCATAAACAGGCAGGCAAGCGAAAACTTTTTACAGAGTACGAGAAGCCAAATGGTTTCGTGAACTCTCGTGAAGAAAGTTTTCTCTAAAGAAATGCAAAACGAAGTGCGTAACATGCGCTACGTGGCAGTTATAAAGCGTAGAAAAGAACGGAAAAGGGGGGAGAGGAAGAGAAAACGACAGAGAAAGAGAAGAGAGAAAGAGAGTGAGAAGAGAGAGAAAGAGCAGCAAAGGGGAACAGGGTCTATTTACCGATGAGAATGTCATGTAGATCAGGTGCCATTTCGCCCCGGCTGATTTTACGTTCCCTGTGGTGATGTGAGCCGACGGTGCCACCGCCGTCGTTCTGCACGAATTCCGGTCGATTCGGCATCTCGCTCGAGGCAAAATCCACTTCGACGTTGGCCAACGCGCTCGCCAACGGGGCGACCGTCGTTCTCTGAGAGCCTTTGCTTGTTCGTCGACCGGTTGCGCGGCAGGACTCGGCCAGTTGAAGATTGATGCGCAGCAAGTCGCCACGACCCTCGCCGACCGCGATGACCCGTGGATGATGCGAGGCAACCATCGGCGCAAACGCCACGACATCCTGATCCATACTATCCACAATCAAATGGTAATCGCTCACGGCGATCTCTCGCAGAGGTGTACGAGTGCCATCCGAGAACTCCACGTCGATGTCCAGCAGACCTTCCTGTTACGCGCGATAATCGCGTCAAATTTGTCGATAAAGAAAAGAAGAAAAAGAATACTTCAAGCACCTGTGTGTGTATGTGTGTGTGTGTGTGAGTGTGTACGTGCGTGTGAGATGAGATCTCACCTGATACTGAGCGGTCAGTCTCCTCGTGATGGACGTCTCGGCGATATATCCGTTCTCGATCGCGGTGTCGGGACTGATACTCAGCTGAAGACCGGACACCACTCGGACGGACAGACGCATCACGGACACGCGATCATTGCAGACCCGAATCTCCTTCGCACCGATCACTCTACCGGTGATCGGTGAGACGACTTGCATCTCTGTGCGACCCACTCCGCGTCCCTGCACCAATCTACCCTGAAGAAGCGTCGCTATTCTGGGATCGGAAACGCGCAGCCCGCCCACCACGAGATCGGTGACGCGAAGCCAAGTGCGTCGATTGACGAAGTACGAGACCCTGCCCGAGTCGTGATCGTTCGCCATGAATCGCGCGTACACCTCGACCGGGCTCTGCTGGAAACGCAGCTTGCAATTGGCCGGCGACGCGTTCCGATCGATGGAGTTGATCGTGTCCCATCCGTGCTCGTTCCCAGACCGAAATCGCTCGTCGTGATCGTCCTCGTCGAAGATCGCGTCCGGATCGTCCACGTTCATGGACGTATCCTCTATCGATTCCTCGAGATCGACGGCGCTCCTTTTCTTCGCTCGCGCGGTCACCGGCGGCGATGATCCCGACGGCGAGGTGATCTCCGTTTGATCTTCGTTCGTTTTCGTCGCGTTCAACAGACTGCGTTTGCTCTTGGCGCCCGTCATGTGCTCGTCCGGTACCTTCCAGCCCTTTATCTGGCTAAGTCGCGTGTCGTCGACGTTTACCTCCAGGGGAAATTCCGGCATCCACACGGTGAATCTTGCCAAGCCGGTGTACGTGCCGTATTTGACGAGAACGGACGCGTTGCTGGAACCTCTAATCTCCGATCCGTCCACGTACACGCTGCTGCACGAGGAGGATACCTACGAATTTACGTGAAAACGACCGATAAAGAAAGAAGAAGAAAAATCGCGGGCGAATATCTACGCACAACGGACCGAGATTTTTCCTTCAATCGAGCTCTACGTTAGCGCGCGCCGCTCGTGAATTAAAAAGCAATTACCTTGAGTACGCTCTCGTCGTCGGAATGACAGGACGACTGCAGCGTGACGTCGGCCACCGTGCCGGCTTGGCTCACGATGAAAACCTTCATTCCCTGCGACACCTGACGGCCCGTCAACACCGCCGTATTCATCACTTCCCAGTTCTAAAAAGCAAAAACACAAAAAACACATCCCTGTTGTTACACACAGAGCAATTCAAACGCCTATACACCGCCAATTTTCAATAGCGTGTGATTGAAATTTGCGTATATCTCAATATATGCGCGCGTCTCTCTCTCTCTCTCTCTCTCTTTCATTCTCTATAACTTCCAACGTTGATAGAGCTATTATACATTATTCATAACTGTTACGGCGTTTTGTCCTGAATTTCATCTTCTTTTCGCCGTGAAACACCAAAGGGTAATATAAAGAATATTAAAAAAAGAAACGTGTCAAACTATAAAAATCACACAAGAATATAATAGAAAAATATGAAACAACGTGATTCCTCTCTTACAAATTATTTTGATACTTTTTCAATATTCTTAATTTGTTTTTGCAAAAAATTCTGTAGTTCAAATGCGCTCGGGAAATTTATATTTCCAAGTTTTCACACAAACTATAACAATTAAGTATATCTTCGACAAAAAAACAATCGAATTTCCAACGGTGAAACAAGTTCTCTTTCGTGTCTCTTCGAAGCAAACAATCCGTTTACTGCTTTAACATCGATAAAGAGCTCACGAAGGGCTCAATTTGCGTGGTCCTCCGTCTGACGTGCGGTTGCTTTACAACCGCCGAGGACATGCATGCGCAGTCTTGCTGCACACGATGTACACGTGGAAATTACTTCACTTGCGTTCACGTACATGTATGTACACGCGTCACTCGCTCGCTTGCGCGCGCGCGTGTGTGTGTGTGTGCGCGCGCTTTCCCCGTAGTAGTTCGTCAACGCGGGGGATCGTTCCGCAAAAGGGTCGGTCGGTCCAGTAAGCCATTTCGAAGTTGGCTCCGTACTAGCTACCGCCGCGGCCTTTGGAAGGAACATCAAACGGCTCGGATATTGCACGAGGGAATTTAAATCTCTGACGCCGGGGCGATGCAGTTCCTGGCTGCATAGCTCGCTTGGCACCCCGATGTAGCGCGACTGCCACATCGCGCCTGGTATAGACGGATGTTTGTGTTCTCTCACGACGGTAAAAGTGGCTTACCCTCAAACGCGCGAGCCATAACTCTTTCTCTCTCTCTCTCTCTCTCTATCTATTTATCTATCTATCTCCCTTTCTTCCTTTCTTCTTTCGTCATACGTCCTCTTTTGCGAGAGAAATTCGCGCAAATTTTTACGATATCGCGGTATACACGCGATATATACCGCGCGCACAACTGTTATTTTATTTTTGTTCGCAATGCGACAATCGTACGCGTATACGATATTGTGAACAAAAATAAAATTCGTTATTTTGTGCCGGGAGAAATGCGAAAGACATACGTATGCAACATTAAAAGTGGCGGATATTAAATTTCATAACTCGAACGAAGCGAAATCCAGACGTCCAAACGTGCTTGCTTATGATTTTTGCAGAACGAATCCGACAAAGGGTTCCGCGGCAGAGTTTTTCCAAAGGAAAAAAAATACAGCTCCCCGGTGCACGTTATAAAAGTCCAATGTGACATTTAATCGATTTGCGCCGGGCTTGTGTCCGAGGGAATTTTTTTTCGCCGAGCCCGACATAAAAGAAGCAAATCGGAGTAATATTTTTTGGAGTAACTAACGTTAAATTTTTTAACCCGAAAAACTTACGTATGTGATTATCGATAATACGTATCCCTATCGAGATTTCTGACTGTTCACTAAACGCTCCCTCGCGAAAGATGAACACAAATGTCCTTTATTTCGAGTTGTATCCATTTATATTTTACTCGCCTTAATATTGTATATAATATTGTATAATAGATTAACTTATCCTTTTCACAAGCAAAACGGAATACGGTATGCGCAAAGTTTGATATATGAATTGAACATGCAAGTCCATACCTTCTGAGATGGTAAAATTATTTTTTGATGTGCATACAAACGAAACGCGCGGAAAGAGAGAGAAAGAGAGAGTTGCTCTTTTCAGCCTCTCTCGAGATCGCGAAATTATTTTCCAAGTTCGTTGAAGTGGGAGAGCAGAAAACATTTTCAACGTATAATAATGTAACGTCAAAGGCGCAATGAAAACGTGTACAGGAACGGGAAACAAAAGAGAGAAAGAAGAAAATATGATATGATATGATATGATATGATATGATATGATATATGATATGATATTGCTTTATTTATTAGGCACTCTGGAAACGTTTTCTCAAGTGCAACATAAGCAAAAAAGAACAATAATCAAAATAACAAAAATAATAAAAAAGAAAAATGAGTATATAAAGAAATGAACAAAAAATATTAATTATGAAACATAAAAAGGAAACATAAATGAAAAATAAAAATAAAAATAAGAGAGAGAGAGAGAGAGCGCAAAGAGAGTTCTGTACGTTACTGCGCAAAATGTGCACAATACACGGGCTATTACTCTGATAAATTTCTGCAGCGCGGGGAAAACAAGCGCGCGCGTGTCAGAGGTCCACTAATTGATAAATTAGGTAATTAATTCGTTTACATATCGCTTTGAAGGCACCGTGCGCGCGCTCGCTCGCGGAAAGTTGTCGGAAACTCGGTGCGCGCTTCTTGATTATCCTCAGTCTAATTGCTCGCTTCTTTCGCGTGCGCGTGAGACTGCGAGCAAAAGTTTTTAATTAAAAGAGACCTCTTTTCTCGACCGCCCTCTCCTCTTCCGCGCGTGCTCGACCTCTCGCGCGTGTGTTATCCATCAACACCGTGAATGTTAAGATCGAACTCATCAGCGCGTCGAATTCAATTTAAACAGTTGCGCGAAGACGAGCACTTATTGAGAAATTCGAACTGCAGTTGGTAAGTGTACCAGAGTCGCGAGAACTTTTTCAGATATTCGAATTAATCTCTCTTACAAGTTTTTTTTGTCAGTAACAATTATATAAGCGCGCGACTCTGTTAAAGATTCGAAATGAACTATCAAACACCACGAAACAAGTGGTTGTGGGTGTTTTACATTTTTTTAGCGGGGCAGAAAAAAGTCATCTTCACTCAGTTCAATTTAATATATATATATATATATATATATATATACAGGGTGTCCCAGAATTGCCGTACAATCGCTCGTAGGCAGGTAGAAGAAGTAAAACTGAGTCGAAAAGTCCTGAACCATTTTTTTCTATTATTTATAATAAAGGAGTAATTATTGAGTAAATCAGGCCAATCAGCGTAGACCTTTAGTCAGGCACACGTCAGTGAGCGCTCACACACACCAGGCGCGCGGCTCACTGACGTGCGTCTGGCTAAAGGTCTGCGCTGATTGGCCTGATTTACTCAATAATTACTCCTTTATTATAAATAATAGAAAAAAATGGTTCAGGATTTTTCAACTCAGTTTTACTTCTTCTACCTGCCTACGAGCGATTGTACGGCAATTCTAGGACACCCTGTATATATACACATGTGTGTAGGTCTAGTAAATCGGCGCGGAGAAATGTGGTCGAGACCCAGCCGATCTGTCTATCTCTCTCTCTCTCTCGGTGCGCAGCAATCGAAAATTTCATTACGATCCGTTGTTACAGCAGCTGCGTCGTCGCCGTTAAATCGAAATGGAAGTCCCTGCGATCGACTCTCCGCTTGTATCGATAGGAATTTCGTCGCGGCTGAAAATATCGTCGTTATGGTGAACGTGCGGGCGCGGAAAAGCCGAAGGAGAAAAGTGTCGGTAGCGCGAGAGCTCGCTCGCCCTGGGAGCCGAAAGAGGGAAAAAGTATTATCCTTTGTCGGTTTTCTTTCCTCGTTTCTCCCTTCCTACCGGTCCGTAGCTTTTTCCTTTTACTCACGCCGTCTACGTTCTTTCTTCCTTTTTTTCCCCTCTCTCTTCTCGCCTCGTTCAACGTCTCGATGCTCGCGAGAGAGAAAGAGAGAGAGAGAAAGAAAGAAAGAGAGAGAGAGGACCGTAGATTGGCCGACCGAGCGGAAACAGATTCTCGCGCGACGACGGGGTGATCGATATACAACCGTATTGATCGTCGCGAACTCTTTCTCCGGGAAGGATTTTCACCAGCGGGGGACGAGAAACGGAAGAGCGCGCGATGAAAATAACCGCAACCGACGGAGGAAAGCCAAAATCTGGCCAAAGCCTCAAAAATCCTTCGACTACTACTTTTCCTATGACGTCTTAAAGTTTCTTGATCCGCCACACTGCAGTCACGCTGCAGATTTTGACGTCACAAGGTGCAAAGTCACATTACGATCTTGTTTTATAAGATGCGCGAAATATTGCAAACGGTTTCTTTTTTCTGGTTACATCATTGTGATAAAACAGAACAAAAATTCCTTCTATATTCTTCTCTTTCTCTGTATTTGAACGGTTATTTCGCAGATTTGCGGATCGGCGCCTAATCAGAATTAAAGTTTGACATCTTGCATTACCTTCGAGATCGGAAGCACGGCCTGTATATCATCCTTCTGTATCTCGAGCCGCGCCTGCAGCTTCCGCTTCTCGACGTGATGATGATGATGATGCTGCATTTGGCGTTGCTGCATCCGCTGATCGGCGCCAGTTAGTTGCGAGTCGTTCTCCTCCTCGCCCTCGAACGCGTAACGCACGCTCCACACAATCCTGCCTCCGTCCCAGCTCCCGCCTACGCCCTCCTCGTACGCTTCCAGCAGCATCGTCATTATTTCCTCCGCGGATCTGAAACGAGAAACAGAAATCTCGTCGAAATTCTCGCGTTGCACGTTGAATAATTAAGAAACACGAGAACAAAAATTAAGAAAAAGCTTTCCAGCGCACCAAATATATTTTCCAAAAACAAAAACACACGCTGCACACTTTGCAATTACGCTTTTTACTTAAACAGAGATAACGGACGAGAGATCGTTGGAGAGAGAGACTATTTTCTCGGTAGTTCCAGGTGCCGAGCACATAATCTGTGCATCATCACGTTCGTTCGGGCGCTCGTTCTCGCTCTCTCGTGTTCGCGCGCGGGAATAAATATGTTTTTAACGACGAGCGTTATTTTCGAGCAAGCGAGCGAGCGAGAGAGCACGGTTGTTAGATACAAGCGCGGAAATTAAGAGAAGAACGAAAATGCTCTCGCCTGTTGAGCAGAGAGTCCGATATTGCTAAGCGGACAAATTTTACGTCGTCGCGAAAACTAAACGCGTCTTTCGATCGCTTTTCCTTTAGAATTTACGCGTTCACACACACACACAAAAAAAAAAAAAAAACTATGTCCTTATTATTTATGCAGTTAAACCGCGTATACACAACACGAGTACGTTACTCATACATTTCACTACGGGCAGTCGGGCGACCGTCGGTATTAAAATTGCCGTATAAGAGGGGCACGGTGTTACTGTGCGAGAATTATAAATTAAACCCGCAATTAAGTATTCATATCTATGCAAATTTCATTACGCTCGCTACAAATTTATCAAACTTAATTAAACCGAATTATAACGTTTGCGACGAGTTGTCTACACAGTGTAAGTTCGGGAGAACATTTATTGCATGATTTACGATTCGAAGCGATTAGTAATAACATACGTTTGTCAAGGCGATGCATAATTGAAGGATATGCGTCGTGATATAATAAGCTACTGTACACCGTGTGTTTACGTGTGTGAGATGAGCCAACATATAAAATTACACCGTCAAACTTGAAGGTTATAAAAATTGCTATTTAATTTTAAAAGATGATAAATTACAGAGTTTTAAGAGTTAATATCCGTCGGAGGGGTGAGTTTTTTCGTGCGAGAGTCGTTCTTGTAATCAATCCTCGGCGCAACTTTTTCTTCCCATTTTTCTTTTCTTTTTCCTTCGTCAAACATTCCTCGCGCAAGTGTCGCCCGCAACGTCGGGTCGTTCATTAAGTTTTATCGAGATTCTTATCTCATCGAGATTAAGGTAGCGACGCTATTTCAGAATAATTATACCGCAGCCGCCTCGGGGTTTACCTGCCTAGTTACGAGGAGAGAGCTAGTATCACACGCATCGGCCTGATCTCGATGCGAGAGCCGTCGCGTTTGCTGGCGGAGCGCGCCACACGGAATCTTGATAAGCGAGGAGAGAGAGAGAGAGAGAGAGAGGAGAGAGAACCTCCAAAGTCGCTCCTCCACCCTCTCTTCATCGGCGTTATCGCGGCCTGTTGATCTACGTTGCGTGCATGTCGGTGGTTGCCCTTCGCTCCCGCATTATTAGACGGCGTAAATCGTCGTCGATTTCGCGGAAACGCGCTCGATCAAAAAGCCGCGGATCAATGGTCCGAGGTCGATGGAATCAAAGCGGACCATCGGCGAACGTTGCGAGAGAAGAACCGATAACGAGAATCGCCTTGGCAAATTTTTTCGTCTTTTGCCCTCCCGATTTCTTCTCTCGCCTGTCGTCGTTCGACTGCGTCAGCAACATTGCGTTTCTGATGTAGCACCACGTCTCTGCCATCGTCTTTTTCTCTCTCTCTCTCTCTCTCTCTCTCTCTCTCTTTCTCGTTATCAGCGTTATATGCGGGACAATATATAAAGCGATTCTCGCACGACCGCTGTCCAGAGTTGCAAATTGTCTGTGAGTTCCGAATTGCGAGATCTGCACTATGCGCGGCGGCGCGTTGTCCCTTCTCGCGAGTACGCTCGTGCTGCTGTTCGCGAGCGCGCTCGTTATCCAGGCGTATCCCGCGCAAGAAGACAACGCGCGGAATCAAGATGACGCGATAACAACGTCCGCCGATGGCACCAAAGATGAAAACAAGCTCGACAGTTCGTCATCATCCAGCGAGGAAAAGAACGTTGGCAAGACACGAACAAGGAGAGATACGTATCTAGATGATAAGTGGCTGCCTTTGGAGGAAGAAGAACAGATAAAGGATTTTGAGCGCGTGAGGCGTGCGTCTAAACGTAAGAGCAAGCGAAACGACTGTGACGACGACGACGACGACGACGACGACGATGATGACAGCAGCAGCAGCAGCAGTAGCAGCAGCAGCAGTAGCAGCAGTAGTTCCAGTGATGATGACGATGACGATGACGACGATAATGGCGACAATGGTAAGAAGAAGTGTAACAAACGAACGAAATCGAAAAAACATGACGACGACGACGACGACGACGACGATAGCGACGATGATGACGACAACGGGAAGTGTAAGAAGAGCAAGAAGCGACATTCAAGATCAAACAAGTGTAAGACCAATTGTGATGACAATGACGATGACGATTCAGAGAAGAACAGAACAAAACGAGAAAGAAGACAGATCGAGGAGAATACTCCGAAAGGTGTATCCAAGAGATGTATGTCCGAAGTGAAAGAAAAGAATCGATTTGTTCGGGAGACCGAGGATGTGTCTAAGTCGTCGTCCGAAGAAGCGAAAAGTCCGAAGAAATGATTTATCAGAAGCGCAGTAGTTTACCAACTCTAGAATAGATTTTAAACTGTTTAATTTCTCAATTTCTAAGCACTCCCGCATGTCAACCTTGTTTGATTCTTGACAATTGCATTTGAAGAAACTTCAGAATGTATTTATTATATTTGTACGCTTATAGACCGCAAACTTCTCTTGAATCGTTCAAATATATATATTCCAACATTCCAAGCCAACATGGTCTGTGTGTTTGTTAATTGACCGAGTTTTGCGAGAATAAAAAAAAAAAAAAAAGAAAAAAAATAGGTAGGGAAAGAGACGCGGCTTTTCAAGCAAACCCGAGAGAACGTGTAATTTTTATAATTTAGAGTGTAATTTGCAGGAGTTTTCGGCTCTCTCACAACGAGCGGAAGCGGCGCATTCAAAGTTCATTACACCGCCCCTCGCGTGTCCACACAATCTCGGCGAGAATCTTTCCTCGCCCTTAACGAGGGAAAATCGTGCGTGCTTTTCACGACGTGACGCTATTCTCTGTGCGATGCTACTTACGTTCTCGGTTCGCGCGACGCCGTCTCTTTGCGTCGCGCCACAAACGTGGCCATCGTGTTTTTAGCTTTTACGTCGCTCTGGACGATCCAGTCCGGACTGCTGGACGAAGCGCTCAGAATCTTCACACCGGTCTTCACTCTCGCCCTAAAACATACGAAGCGAAGATCCAATTTCAGCAAGTACAAGTCAGATCTGGTTCGCGTCCCAATATTGAGTAGAACACGTGAGACGCGTGAAAGATATTGATAAATATTAAGATTCACATTTTGAACAAAATATTATTCGCAATAGCTTCTTTCGATCTACAAAGTGCAATCAATTTGTTATCCTCTGTGACATAATTTTGTGCATTGAGCGGAGAAAGAGAAAAAGAGTAAAAAATATGTAATATTGTAATGAAATAAATTTGCGCTGATGTTTATCAGTGCGATGAATAGGAAAATTTCTAATTATATCATATAATAACAAGTTGCAATTATCTAATTATGAGATCACGAAAATTGATTTTGATTGCAATTGATACGATCCGGTGTATGAAAACACCATTAGCTATTTCGATATATTTAATAGTATTATTATTAATCATCTCTCGACACGCATTCTCTCTCTCCTCTCTCTTTCTCTCTCTCTCTTTGTCAATTGTAATAATGGTGTTATTTAACAATCATTACGACATAGTTGCTGCTATCGGATTTCTATATAAAGTAACCTGGTTTTCGATGTCCATCAGATTCTCGGGAATGAATACTTAATTGGATTTCATCAAAAATGAAAACGTTTTGTTGGTATTGATTTCGCATTATGCTAAACAATTCCGATGTAATTTTCCACCTTCGAAAGAGCGAATCGTGTGTGTGTGTGTACGCGCGCGCACGCGTATGCGTTCGATAAATACTTCGGCTGAAAAATTACTTTGAATCTTCGAGAATTCTCGCTAACAATTGCAAAAAAAAAAAACAAAACAAAACAAATATGCTCGCGGGATAAGCGCGTTAAAAATGATCGATTATAAAGTACAATCAGTAGGGTATAAGAGATAAAATAAAAAAGCATGTGTGTGCTCGGGATATTATACAACTCACGTACGAACTTTTTCACAAGTGTGTTACTTCCCTACGAAGACTTATACGTCGTGCGCTCTTATAGTTGCGCCGCCGCGCCGCGGTGCAACTTTTATTACTCGTATCACGTCGTATCGATCTCGACCCGCAAGGGAATTCCTCTTTCATCTACCGCATTATTAGCCGCGTCCTCTTGTTATTAAAAATGAACGAATGTACAGTCCTTCACCACGAAGATTTCATTACCTTCAATGGTTATACTCTTTCCGACGACATCGGCGCCGAGCGCATTTTTGCAGTCCTCGAGTTTTCCTACGTCTAACATATAAGTCACAAGGACTTTTATTCCGTATTTCCACGTGTATATACACGTCAATACATAAGACATTTACGGTATTTATATAGTATTTGCGAGTAGCGCATAAAAAAAAGCACACGTGTTTTTTTTTTTGTTTCATCTTTTCACTGTTAATTCTAATGCAATTTTTGTTGCACACGCGCGACGCACGAGGAAGATATAATAAAAAATGAATAATATAGCAATCTTATCAACAGCAAATAGATAGAATGATGGATTGAAAACAGAAGAGATTATAGTATTTGCATGCATGCGCTCAATTGCGTGGCGCGAGATTGCAGCTGCAAAATAAAATCAAATATATATATGTATATATATATATATAAAATATAAATATACAAACGCGACGTGGAGAACTATTCTCCATTCCGTTTTATCACGTCTAGTCATCTTTCTCAATCTTGTCGATTATCTATATAGACTTCGGGTCGAGTCGTCGGACGTATATGGGTATCGGATTTCCATTCGATCGAACACGATGCGCGCACGAGGACTCTCCATGTGCGGTCGTGCTTTGAGCACCGATTCCTCTCTCGGTTGTCATCGCAATAACACCGGCGTTATTATTATACCACTCGTCGGCGCAATGTCGCGCGCAATCCCAGCGAAGCAATTGTCTAAAAGTTTCCGGATTGAAATTTGAGCGCGCGCGCGGTCTCGTTGCCGCCAAAATGCGAAGAAAAACGAATCGGGTTGCTTTATACGTCAATAATGCACGGCGTGCATACTCGCCGATGCACTTTGCGCATCTTCTCGTTCCGCGCATTTGTGCTGCGACACTTCATACGCTCTCTCCCGACAAACTTCGTCGATAAAACGTAGGAAAAAGGAGAGCAAAAAACGAGAGCGAAGCTCACATCAAGAGCGCGCACTTTCGATATTTAATAATTAATTTTTTATTTAACTTCGATACACAGAGATTCGTTTCGAGAGAAGCTGCTGCGCAAAGCGAAAAAATGACGAAACGATGTTTCTCTACTGCGAGAAAAAAAAATTAAATCGCTCGTGACGAGTATCTGTAATGCGCGCGTTTTCTTTTTTGTTTCGATCTCTCGAGATTTTCGCGCAGATTCTCAGAGAAATTCGTGAAATCGAGAGGGAATCGCGAAAGAATTCGCGAGAAACATCGTCGTGTCGTCCGAACGAAAAATTTCACGACACTCGGATCGTTTATCTTCGTCGGGCGGAGTATCACGGCGGACGGAAATAAGACCATCCTTCCGGCGACTTGCGAGAGGGACGTTCTTCTCTCCTCATCATTGCCGAGTTACACGCCAAAAGCGCGAGGGAAGGAGTTCTTCTCGCTTCGAACTATTCACGCTCCAGTTACGTAACCAGGTCATGGGGCCGGTATATCTATCTATCTCTCTCTCTCTCTCTTTCTCTTTGCTCGCGTGTGATAATATGAGGGAAGAGAGGAATGCGCACGAACGAAGAAATGCGTCCATCCGACGCCGCAACGCACAGATATAATCCGCACCGCGATGTACATTGGCTACAGCTACGGTCGACGCAACAAATCAGACATTGTCGTCGTTGTGTGTCGCAACGTGTAAAACGTACAGTTGGCAAAGCCAAGAGATAATCCGACCTCTTCTTTCCTCGAAACGGAGTATGAAAAATGAAATATGTACATTCTTTAAATCCGTACATCGCACTTAACGCATTCGATATGTTTTTATTTCGCGTTCTCTCTCTCTCTCTCTCTCTCTTTCTCTCTTTCGTTTTCGATAAACATGTAATTTTTTTCTAGTTTGTAACGAGGTCGGATTTTATCCGAGACAACAGAGTCGATTGTACAGCCTTGTGAAAAATAATGATTAATGCTTTGATTCCAACGTTATATATTTTTGTGTGCGTGTACACACACACACACAAACGCATAAAATCGGTATATTTTTACTCCGATAATTCGATCCCTTTCGTTCGGGAATTTCAAAGAGTATCGGAACGAAAATAACGAGCGGCGAAAATTGCGCTAAATGACACACAAAATAATAATAAGTATAATTTAAAAGCAAAACGGCGTGCCCGCTATTAGTCCCGATGCATAATTGCTGCGTGCTGAAATATGGAGAATTATCCTCTCCGAAACTAGAAAAATTATTGTGGAAAATATAAAGCTGGAGAAGACGTTTTCTCGCGTAATATAATACCGCAGCCGTATACTTTACGGTGTATGATTTATTTAGATCGTGCATTGTCATCTCGCGGTTTAATGCATTTCCTTAAGCTTTTCTTCTTCTGATTCCGCGCGTCTATATATATATACATCATCTCATTCGGTTTTATTCAAGACGTCGGTCATTCGTAATTCAAAGCTGAAACGAGAATTTTCGAGTGCGCGAGTGCAACGTCGTTCGCTCTCGTCGGACGATACAGAGGAGTAAGCGCAGGAAAAAGAGAGAGCAAACGGCTAATACAAAACTTCTTCGGTGGGCGCCCCACGTTTATACTTCCCGGCTGAACACGACCCGAGAGCCGTAGGGAAGAGACCGGATATTGCCTCTTCAAGTTCCTTCGCCGTATTTGCCGAAGTCGAAGAAGCCGGCTAATTCGTATTTAAGAAGGCGCCGCTGGTACCTCCCGTAATAACTCAATTTGCCTTTTTCCGCGGAAATCGCGGAAGCCGCGTTTCTGCTGCTGCGCTCTTTTACCGCTTCTACCTTCTAGCCCTCTTATCGCTCGTTTGCTATCGTTGAAGCGTGGGAAGCTTCTTCCCCTTGTATGCGCGCGCGCGCGTGTTGCCATAACGCGGAGGAATTCGAATCGCGGAAACGTCTGCGAAGGGAAAACGTGACATTTTCCGAGACGTCGCGACATAAAATATTCCTGAGGCGAAATGTCGCTCCGAGGCGAAGTCTGATTTGTTGCGTGCGCGTTTGTGCAACGCGCGCCCGATTACGTATATATATAATATATAATATATAATATATATATATATATATTTCCGCGAGAATCGTTATAGCGTGTCACATAGGGCGAATTTTTTATTCGCGGTCAAGACTATATGTAAGATCTTCGAATACAATATGCAAAATATCTTTCACAAAGATACGACGAAGAAATGCGTTCCGCGCGCTATCGATATCTTCCGAGCGGAGTTGGATAAAGTTTCGTATCGTAATTAGTTACACAAAAGGCGAAGTTGCGGATTCACGCGGATGCCTTCCGACGAAATTTCGCCCACGTCAGATATTATACGCGATCTACGCTTCTCTTCTCAACCCCCGTTGTGGCGCATATTGCGGTGCGCACCGCGACGCATACCGCGAGTTATACATACACACACACACACACACACACACACACACGCTATGTGTGTGTTAACTTTGTTTCCCGTAATCATACTAACGGCAGCAGATACGCGCGCGCAGGCGCGTTCTATACACACGGCGGGAAGAACCGCAATTTCCGGGGGTGTTGAGCGCCACACAATTTAAACATACAAAAACACAAGTACAATTATATCATTGCGAGTTCGCCCGGGGCTCGTTCCTTTTTCTCACTCCCGGCGATTAATTTACATATCTCTCGACGTTTTAATTGTTTCGACGCGGATCTGAGATCTTAATTAACACCGAGTAAATTAAGTCGCGGAAGAGAAAAGGTGTCCCGCGCGCATACCCGTTCTGCTCGAAAAACAAAACGCACGAAATGTCAATAATTTATTTTCGCTTGTGTGTAAGCACCATGTCGTTTGATAGTGCAAATTAGTCGCGAATAGCGCTGAAGAAAAAGTCATGTCACGCAAACGGAAAATATCATTTTTTTTGTAGCTGAAAATAATTAACGACCGAACTATACGCGGAAATAAGCAAGAAATAGTGGAAGGGCCATACGGGAAAATGTGGATATACATGCGCACATACATATCGGATCGCCGTTAAACACCGGTCGAGCGAGCGAGGCGGACCAATTACAAGTTCCAGATCAAGTTATTTCCGCGAGCCTATCTCGGCCATTTACATACAAATCGCCGATGTGCGAACCACCGTGGAAACACCATCGAGCGCAATCCGGAATGTATGTATGTACGTGCGCGCGCGCATTTTCACGTTGACGAATGACCAAATGTCGCTACGCGGCTACGCCATTTATTCAATGACCGCCTCCTCTTCTACCGTATCGATGTTTTCGGGCGATCGATCGATTCGATAGGGTAATCCGGAGGTCACGTACGTATGAAGAATATCATTTCCGCAGTGGCGACACACGTTCGCGCGTCCGAGAAAAATTGCGAGAAGAATCGAACTTCGAGATTTACGCTTTGCGCGCGTAGAAATTGGAAATATAATCCGTGGAAAAATGATCGTTTCCTTAATTCGCACGCGTGTACAGGTGAGAGAAAGCGCGGGTATCTCTTCGAAATATATATGTTCTGTGTGTAAAGCAGCCGCACACACATGCACACACATACAAATTGAACGACGCAATATCGCAGAAGCGGAGGAAACGGAGACCTATAGTTGGAGCCCGGCTTAAGAGGCGGGCGGCGCGTAGGAAATCTACAGTTTAACGCGGCGCTCGTAAGAGAGCCTTAGATTAAGGTTGCGAGAGACATAAAAAGCGGTGTAAAGCTCTTCCCCTTTCTCCCGCCCTCTCTCTCGTCGACGCGAACAAAGGCTACGATTAGCTCTTAGCGAGCTCTTTAACGCGTGAGGAAATTTTCGCTCGCCTCGCCGTTTTTCACCCTCGAGGGCTTTTCCTTGCGCAGGGTAATTCGCGTTTAAAGAATTTAAGAGATTCGAATGAGAAAGAGAGAAAGAGAGAGTTCTCTTCTTTCGGATTTTTTTTTTTTCGTGTTACCGGAGAAACACACCGGTTAAATGAAACGACGTGATGGGAAAGCGCGAATAAGAAGAGGGCGAAGAAAGGGGATGGGGACCGATGAACGCGCGCGTGTCGCGTAATATGTAAACGCGCGCGTGTTATTACGTTACATAGAAACGTGAAATTTTGATTGAAGGTTTGCACCCCGCGGATATGATCCGCAACAATGTAAATCGAATATTTGGGAAAGGGCTAACTGTTCGCGAAATTGTACAACAATGGCCTAGAACAACTATTGTTAAATTAATAACGCGCGTGAGGGCTAAACGTTACAGCATTGTTGACGTGATAATAGTATATTCTATCGCTGTATATTGTTACATATAATGAGAGCCACACAAAGCCAAACAAAACTGGGAACGAAAAAATAAATAAATAAACTTTAAAAAAATACTTGCGTAACAATATTACGTGATGATAATAATAATAATAATGAAAAAGCGAGTTGTAAATTTGTTGCAAAACAAATTCAGTAATTTACTCTTCAGTTTTATTATGCAGACGCGACGCGCTGCAACGCTGACAAAAAGAGGAACGAGAATTATTATATCCGCGACTGTGCAACTCTCTTTGTTTTAAAAATACTGATAATACTTGCTCCTTATTTGAATTTTTCGAAATAAAAGACGCGTCAAGGCTGCGTGTCCGATTATACGCGTAAACAAAATCTATCGCGTTTCTGTTCTAAAATCGTATCGGGCGCAAAAATTGCGAAAGCGATCTCGATAACCCGCGATCTCTCCGTAAAGTAAGTAAGTCCACGCTACGTATATCGCTACTATACTTATCTTGTTGCGTTATCGTACATACATCGTGGCATTTCGAATATAACGCGAAATAATAAACACACACGAGAAGTCACGCTTCGAGAAAGCGTCTCGTTGTAAAACTTTTATTTTGTTTGCCAACAGTTTTTTCAGTCCGATAATAGCGGCGATAAGAAACTAAAGTTTTAACGAAGGACACGTGTAGAAAAAAAAAAAAAAACTTGCGTTACGTATAAAATAAAACATAGCGCACGCTTATGTGCACTCCGAGACAAATTGCAATGACAACTTCACGAGAGAGAAAAGTCAGTTTTAAAAGAGTAAAAAAAAATCTCGCGCGTGTGTTTTACATAAATTTTAGAATCATTCGGGCGAGTGCAAAAGTTTTGATGAATTTCGTCTTAGAAAAGTGGGCGAAGTAATTTGATTGAAAACGAAATTTATTGCGCGTAATGACAGCTAAAAGTGTGATCTTTCCAACCGTGTGTGTTACAACACACACATGTTTGTGCGTGTAAGTGCTGCTTGTGTAAAACCGGATCGGTCGCGACATCTTTGAGAAATCCGTTAAAACTTTCGCTCAATGCGATAAATCTTTTCGAGATACGTAGTAAAAACGGAAAAATCCAATGAAGTCATTGAAGAATGTTAATCCGTTCTCGCGGTATATTCGCGCGATCTCGTGGGAGCTAAAGTGCGGCTAAAGTAGTTTAATTATGTAAGACCTTCTACGCGCGGCTTTGCGAAGCCGTAGAGTGCCATGCGCCTTTTTTCTAGCAATTGATATGGATTTCGCGCGGCTTACAGTCGCCGTTACCCAGTTCACCCTCTCTCTGCGCGTGACACGTCGTCTTTTTTTTTTTTTTTTTTTATAGACCGCGGTAACCGCAATGTCTCCCCGACTTATAAACTATATCGGTTCAAGCGTTTTCTTGATTATTCGCTGTAAAAGGCATATAAATTCCGGACGCAGCACCGCTCGTATTTTCCCAACAACGTGTTACGGAGCCAACGACCGCGTTTCTCACGCGGATTGCCCACGCGGTCTCTGGCGCGCTCGGGTAGATATATATCCCTCGTGTTGGTCGCCCCCGTCTCGAAACTTCCGAGTGCTTACTAACAACAGCGACTACGTCCGCAAGCTTACTTGACAATTCATCCAATTAGGAAATTTCAGTATTTCCCTTCCCGACCTATCTTTCAACCGTCCTGAAGTGGTCTTCTCTCTCTCTCTCGAGAAAGAAAGAGAAAAGGGGGGAAGGGAGAGTCTTAAAACGATTTCCACGAGATGTACGCGAATGAAAGAGAGTTGACGAGAGAGAGGTCGATCTTTTCAATAACGACGTTTCTTGTGCATCAATCACTCGTATATTTGTTTGAAAGTCAGATCGGCTAGATGTAAACGCGTTTATCGATCATTCTTGAGATCGTTAATAAAACACATACACGGGGACTACTCGGTATTTTACCCAAAAAGAAACATTCAATTTAAAAGTATGTTCCAAAGATTTTAGTAGAATAAAATTAGGAAACTTATTTTAATTCATGTCTGTTTGATAAACAAAATTTCTTCTCGACAAAAGTTGTTGTTTCCGAACTCACCTCAGATAAACCGCGATGATCATTCGTTCCTGTTGCGAGTCCGTTACTTTGACGGGATGCAGAAACGCCGGAACGTGCAGCCTGGATCTGGGATAGAGCGGTCCGTGCGGCACGAGCAGCGTCAACCAATCGTCCGCCCTGAGTTCTTTGTAATCCGCCCTGTTGGGCGCCAGGGGTATCTGACCCAGAGGAGTCACGGGCTGAATTTGCACCCTGGGTCTGCAGTAGCCCGATCCGTTGCTGTCAGTCGAACTACCGCCGCCGCCGCCGCCGCCGAGTCCTCCACTTTCTTCCGTGCGCGGTTCCAGCACCGAATAAGCGACCTGGACCAGCCGGGGCAGACTCTTAACGACCTTGACACGACCGGAGGCGTCGGGCGGCGGCAGCGGCGCCCACCAATCGGCCGGTATGGTTATCTGAGCGAGGCACACGCCGTTCTCGCCGTCGGGGCTGCAGGCTGCCGTGAGTGTGGAAGATGTGGAGGAAAACGACGAGGAAGAGGAAGTCGAAGAGGAATAGCCGCGACTCGCCAGGCTGGCGTGCAACACCACGCAGACCCGCTGATGCCGCGCCATCAGCAACTGCCGTCTACCACTGGCCTCGCTGCCGGCGTGGAAGAGCACCCTGAGCACCGGCGAGTCGCGCGGTATACTGTTGCCGACCAGATGGGCCGACATGTCCAGATGACGGGCGCCAAGCTCCTGCGCGTCCAGAATCGTCGCGGCCGTGAGATTGCGTCGCGTTTCCGGTCCCGGCAGCGCGTCCAGCGGATCGGGAACTATGTAGCGCGCCGGCACGGTCTGCTTTGTGCTAAAAGGCCCGTACGTGGCCCGCACCGACACCGGCTCGCTCGTCTGGAAGACGGTGAACTTGTCGATCGAAAGGACGGAGCCGGGCGGCGGCGACGACGACGACGACGATGACGACGACGACGACGACGACGACGACGATGACAACGCTCCGCCCGAATTGTTGCCGCTCGACGCACCCGTCGACAACGCCGGAACGGAGTCCGACGTGCCGCGAGACGGATAATATCGCGGTATGTGCTTCAGGAAGAATCCGCCATCCTTGTTCTCAAAGTGAACCTCCACTGAGGCCGCCACGTCTGAAAGCAGAAGAAAAAGGACTCATTGAAAATGCGAATTCCACTCTCCGCTCGCTCTTTAAAATCAGATAATGGGTAATTACACTTGCTAATTGCAGGTATTACGACGCGTGACATTTAAGCTGATGTTAATTTCACAAGCTGATATTAATCCCCGCGGAGATATCCAAACAGAAGGAGGAAAAACGAACTATCGGAAAATACATAAGAGGATTGTTTAAGGTGAAATAACAAGTTCTGATACAAAAGTTCCACAGATTTGTTTTTTTTCTCTTTCATACATTCTCCTCTACTGGTCTCTATTTTTTTTTTTTTTTTTTAATAAAAAAAACTTATAAATCTTCCTTGTACATATTTCCATTCTTGAAGGGTATTAGCGTGGTTCTACATACACGCCCTCGCAAAACGGCGCGACAATGCACGCGATTTCCTCGGCAATAAATCACGACGTTGAACGGCGAAGTCGACAATTTTTCCTATCGCGTCGATAGTACACGACGCGACGAAGAATGGAGTCGCGCCGAGAAAAGTTGGCGCGCGCTTACGCGCATCCGAAAGTTGGCGCAGGTGAGTGGAGAAGTTGTAAATCGGTGGTACGGGAAGTAAGTTGGCGCTATAGTTCGGTATCGAGAGAGAGAGAGAGAGAGAGAGAGAGAGAGAGAGAGAGAGAGAGAGAGAGAGAGAGAGAGAGACAGAGAGAAGCGGATGGCGCGACTGCGCTCCCATACGGACATAAATTTCCAAGCAAATCCCGAAGTAAGCGCCAGCTGCCCGCACGGCCTCGCGTAAAATGGAAGGAAAGCCTTTGGAAAAGCGACGAGACGAGGCGAAGAGAGAAGGCGAGCTCTCTCGATTCGACCCTCGTCCGCTTATCTCCCGCCCTCTAGGCGCACCATGAACCAGCCCCTTTCTCCGCTTCGTCCGTGCTAACTCGTCGTCTATTTTAGCTTCTGTTTTTTCTGATCCGATAACAGGCGATTACGGCGAAATGATTTAGTGAGTTTCCGCGCCGGAAATTTACTGCCGCATCGCGAAGCGGATCAGGTAAGATGCGGGGAGGATTTTTTTAAGAATAATCAGTAGAGTGTACACACACACGCGGTGCTCTTCGCAAGAAAAAAATATCATTGCGTGTTGCTCTGCCGCGATGTTCTTCTCTTTATCGCATATTTACGTTCACATACGTTTAATTAATGCTGTTAATAAGTTTTATTGACAAAACTAAGCGACCAACACGAAGTGTTGACCTTTTGTTGCCGGACGACAAATCTCCGTGCGCAGCGCGCGATGCCGTGTGATCGCCAATGTCGTTTAATTGAATTATAAATAAAACGTTTTCGCGCAGTTAGAGGGATTTTGATTGGTGCGCGTTTAACCCTTCGGCCCGAGGGCCGAGCAACCCTCGTAATTTTTCGTCAAATAATCATTTCATATCTTTTGACGTGCACACACATGTAGACGCGCGCAAGTGTACACACGCGCGTCTCTCTCTCTCTCTCTCTCTCTCTCTCTCTCTCTCAGCGATTTATTTACGCAACGGCGAGACGCGAGGAATGGAAAACAAATGAAGAGACAGACGGGAATATAAAGTTCGCAAAAGCGGTTTTATTTAAGTATGCTGACAAGCACGGTCGAAATTGGAAATTTCGCACAACGATTGTGCGCGCGTATGACGAGTTTCCCTTCCGAGTGTAGGGATCTTCCTCCCGCACGCGAGATGGATCCCTATCGGTCATCCGTCGACAAAGCGCCGTGATCGAACGATCGAAGACTCCTCGTTGACATCAAGCGGCTGATTTGGTACGGGGGCACGTCGAACCACTGGTATATCTTCGGTTGGCTCTGGTCCAGCTCGTACTCCAAACAACGCCGAGGAGTTCTGCCAAGAGGTCGTTAACACGTGATTCTCACAAAAAGTTTCGAAAACGCGATTCGAGCCGCGTGTTCTCTCACCGCTCCCTCCCCCTCCCTCCCGAAAACCAATATCGTTGCGCGAACACGTTGCGCTAACACGCTGTTTATAAATTTGAAGCGACATAATATGTGGCGCATATATACGTACATTAAATAGAATTGCGAGAGAGAGAGAGAGAGAGTTGAGAATCGATGAATCTATTGAGCGGTATGCGTCCCCTGACCCTGATTTGAAAGTCGAGCACCGACTCTCGCGAAGTCACTAATACGCTTACGACTCACAGCGAATGCCGTTTGCAGCCGATGATGGGGTGGTCTTTGCGGAAGCACTTCGTGTTTAACACGCTGAAGTAGATGAGGCCGACCTTCGTGCTAGCGAACTCCTCCGAGTTATGGAGACAATCGTAGAACCTCTCGTCGCACGAACAGTGCACCCTGATTTCGCACAACGTTTCATCAGATTATTCCTTACAGAATGCCTTCTCTTCATTGTTTTTTGCGCTCATTTAAAATTCAAATTACTTATACGATCAACGTTGAAAATACGTGCGCGCGCGCGCGGTAATCTTTTTATGAAAAGAAGTTTTTCGCGTGCTGTATAATTAAAGAATTCGGCGCGAGGGGTGGATTAAGCGAAGGTTCACTCTTTAAAGCGCGAGAAGCCCGTGTGTCTGAACTGAAGCTTACAAATTACAAACTGAAGTTTCGCCCTTGTTCGAAATCCTTTTTCTCCGCTCCCGTGTTTTATTTTGCATTCCGGAACGCTAACGGGAATTATCGGTCTGCTAAGCCAAACCTTGGTAACAACAAATAGTTTCTCATCGCGTACAACACATGTAAACGTCGAGAATAGTTCTCGTAAGAACGATTGATCGGTACCGAGTTGCGCCTTTATCCTTCCTGCGCGTTGTACAGACGTGATCGTGAAACAATATGTTTGCGTTTGTCGTAAATAAGTTTAGATTTTTTCTCGTTAAACTTTTAGCGTTCGCAACATCTTGGATTAGAACTCGATTATCGTAATCCGAGAGTGTTTAAAGACGCGCATTGCGCAACAGTTTTTTTTTTTTTTTGTTACCAAAGCCTCTCTCGCAAAAATTTTTTTCTGTTCCCGCCGCAAGAGAGAGAGACGAAGAGATAATAGCCTATATAATTAATACACAAGTTCGCAATAATGCACGGCGTCATTTATCAACGTCAAACGTCAACCGCAACTATAGCAAGACACGCACGAAACTTGGGTTAAGTGCTCCAGTTGCGTGAAACTCACTCGACAGAGACTTCGCTAAGGCAAGAGACTAAGTTCATTGACTTTCTTTTCCAGAAACTGAACTCTCTTTCCCGCGCGGCAATGAGAGATTCGACAAAAAGAAAAAAACGGTGACATTTTGTCACACAAATTTCTCGCTCAATATCGCCCGAGAGAGCGTGTATATTGATTTTCTCTTTTATCGCGCGGATTTCATTGAAACGGGAGACACATTGTGCCGAGTCAAAAGTCACCTAGTGTAAAAAGCGGTATTGGTCAGATTGTGCTTCGTCTCCGCCGCCTCGAGCACATCCTTGCAGTTATCGTGTTCGCGGCAACACGCGTCGGTCATCTTGAACTCGCCCAGATCGTCCGGACCGCTCGCGACGTTCCCGTCGCCGCACCATTTTGTACCTGATGGGACAATTCAAGCCAAAGAAAAACCCGATAGAAAAATGAAACTTTCTGATACCACGACTTCACACACGACAGCAACTTTTTTCCATGAATATATATATATATAATAGACGTTACAATAATTAAATAACCGATATTTATATCGTTATACTGTGTGACGCATTTAAAAACTAAAAATATATATCACTTTTTTTAAATCACCTGGAAATATGAGAGCCGGTTCGACCGACGCGAACACGTCGTCGTTGTAATTGCCGCTGCTCGAAGACAGGAACATCCATCCGCGAACGTTCGCGAACAGATGCAGGAGCACGAAGAGCCACGTGATAATCGACGAAGTCATCGCGACGAAATCTCACGATCGTTTCGGCAAAGGACGGAAGTAAGAAAGCTCCTTTTATAGGTGCGCAAAGAACGTTCGTGAGCGTGACCCACTTCGTCTTCCCCTAAGTCATCTAATCGGCCGAGTTACGCCCTGCATGCGAAAGTGGCATGACGAACCTGCTGCGAACGTCGTGCTTAGATAACCGCGTTCGCGTTTCCTGCGACGAAATTAATCCGCCGCGCGATAACACCCCGGGATCCCGAAGGGAGAGTTATCACTGGAGTCCTAGTTGATTATCGCAACAGATGCGCGACGGGACGGAGCGGCGGATGTTTCCGGACTAATTTGCGCGTTGACAAACCAAGCTGGTTTTTTTCGCGAAAGATAAGATTGAAAAAACGCCCCTGTTTGTCGGCACGCGATTCACCGGTCTTTGAAGTTAAACGAAGAGAGAATATTCTCGCGCGATTCTCTCTCTCTCTCTTTCTCTCTCTCTCTCTCTCTCTCTCTCTCTCTCTCTCTCTCTTTCTCTCTCTCGAAACGCGACTGCAATCGTCCAATTACAAACTCGCAATCCCACACGCTGGCTTATTCGCCTTCCAATTTTCGTTGACCTGTCGCACAACAGCGCGTCAACGGTCGTTGTTCACACATCAGAGGATCACACAAACACCGCTTGATCGTTCTTGTCGATGAAATCGAGTTCATCGAGATTTTGGAGAGACTTCGCTTACGATGATATCGCTTGTCAAACAACAGCGCAGTTAAACAATTTTTTTAAATTCTCGTGATAAATTCATTTCTGAAATGTATTCGAATTTTTGTGAATATACATGTCTCTTTTTACATCCTGACATCTAAATAGAGCGATTCGGTTACTCCATACTGACACCACTAACTTGTGCTGTTTGACACCCTTGTGCTGTTGTTTACATTCACTACCGACGACGAAACCACACGCGTCCGTGGTGTATCACCGCGAAAACTGGATTTTACACGAGCGATTCGTACAAAAAGCTTCTGAAAATTTATTCCCACGCACGGCGCGAATGGGAAAAAACACGAGCGTTTTTTTTCTTTTTTTTCTTTTTTTTTCGTCCTCTGTGTGAAACTTTTTCGAAATGGCACTTTCACGGGGGCGAAAAACTTTCAGAGCGAAACGCGATTTCGAGCGCGGATTTAAATGGAGCGGCGGGGTTCTCATTTCGAAAGCAAACGGAAAGAGCTCGTCCAAGAGTTCCTTTGATCGTATTTTGTTCGCCATGATGGCTGCAGCGGCGACGAGGGGTGATGTCCTCTTCTGGTGGTCGCGCCCCATTCTTCAAGTAAATGTAACACGCTCAACGGCACGTGTTTGCGACGTTGTTTCGATAGCGTTGGGGATCCGTGAGCAGATCGCGGAGTATCAAAGTAAATCCCATAGAACGCGCGCGCGCGCGAGAGAGAAAGAGAGAGAGAGAGAGAGAGAGAGCGAGAGAGAGAGAGGACAAGTAGTGCGCGGGCGGAGTGGGTTATGAACTCTTGGAGCGGACCGGCATACGTCAATATTGTGAAACCGTGATACCAATAATAACTCGACCAATAATCGATTACCGAGGTTGTTGTTGCCGATACAGTGTATTCGCCAACGAATTGACAAAACGCACAATAGAGCGAGCGCGGTTACGGAAAATAACACAGACACACACGACGCTTCCAGAGAATATCGATCACTTCCGCCGCGAAGAAGATTGTCTATGTGTCTTCCTTCCTTTTTTTTTTCACGTTTCTCTTTCTCGTCACGAAATCGATGTACTTCGCTTATTCGTCTTGTGGAAAAATAACGCCGGCGAATTGTGTAATCGGACAATTGATAAATATTGGAAGAGCGACGATTCATAATTCAATGTTGATTCGATGAGAGAGATTCGTTCGATTTGCCCTCGTGAACTCTTTGCTGGTTTTGTTTTTTTTTTTTTTTTTTTTTTATAAATAGCAGCCATCATGAAGATAAATGTTACTCGATACATACGTCTCTCATATAAATGACATTTAAATTGAAATCGCGCATAATTATGAAGATACGCAATACGTAGTTTGAATAATTGTGCGCAATAAAATAGAATGCAATATAGCCTGAAAATTAATCTGTACAGGTTGTAAGCAACGCAAATTCCATGAAGGATGGATCGAAATTTATATTATTCAACGTAACGACGCTATTGTGTTGCGCGATTGTATCATATATTTTAAAATAATGATAAGAATTTGTTTTGAAACGAAGAGAATGGTTGAAATTATTTTCCCTATTAATTCTCTCCGTCGTTTTATTGCGCAAATAACAGTATATATATATATATATATATAAATACAGAAGAGGTCTTTTGTAATTAATTGAACACATCGCGTTCTTAGAGCAATCAAGCGCTTCTCGATTTGTACTCTCGACTGATATTAATGGAAACGTTGCGCGTCGAAGCGAGGATTTATTACGGGCGATCACGGATTCGAAATGTCATCGAGATTCGGACAGAGAAAGTGGCGGATATTCCGCGGCCCGACCATACCCTCTTGATTACGAGCGCAGTCGGTCAGCCACCGTCCGACGGCAGCTACACGCACGGCCGATACCGGCGGACCGATCCCGGGCACTCGGAAGATCGTCTCCAGACGACCGGCCGACACCTCCGCTCGCATCCTCTCGAGAAACTCTTTCATCGGATCGGGCGACGGTGGCGTCTGGTAGATTTCAGGCTCGCCGAGGCATCGGCAAGTCTCCTCGTCCTGCGAGTCCTCGATCGAAGAAGTGCTCGCAGTCTTGTAGTCGATCGTTTCCGCTTCTTCCGTGACCTCTTTCTCGCTCCCTTTTTCCAAGTTGAACTCGAATGCATCATCGGCTGTCTCCAGCACGTCGATGTCGCGTTTTGAAGAACCCTCGTGAGTATCGTCATAATATTCGGTTTGATCGATGATCGTGAAACCGAAAGAACCGTCGATATTTGTACTACCAACCGCCGGCTAAAAAAAAACAAACGTATTTGCGAAAGCAAATATCTAATTTTTTCTCTGCCCGGAATAACACCCCGGATTCTTTTTTTTTGTTTACCACGACACACTTCATCTTCCCGTGTGACTCGTAGAAAAATCAAAGTTTACAATCATCGCGAAGAAGACAACAGTGATAAGAGCAAGATGAGGTGCTCCGTACGACGTTTTACGACGTGCAAAATAGCACGGCTACAAAATTCAAAGTGACGGATCGTTTTTCTGACATTTCTTCTCGCGCGCGTACCTCACTTTTCCCTCCTCGGAAAATGTGACGACCAATCGACTCGATCTCAATTTCGCTTTTATCGCTGGCGACAGGTTGTCTCACCGGCGCTACGACGTGCCTCGGGTCATCTCTGTAATCCTTCAAGATCTTGAGGCTTTCCGAAGGTGGTTTCTCACGAGACGACGCTGTCCCGCGGATATCCTCGTCGATACTTTTTGCTTCCTTCTGACACAGAGTTTGATTGAATGTGATTCGATCGTTCGAAAAAAAGAGAGAGAGTCGAAACGTCGAGATGTTGACAAAAGAAAATTTATCTACTTTGATTTAATGTAATTTCGATAACAATGGAACGATTTGTGTTATTTGTTGATTCTCTTCGTAACATTTTACAAATTGAAAGAATATCAATAAAATAAATATTTGTTTAGAGAAATTTATATAAATGTATGATTTGCACTAACACCTATATAATTGAAATTTATAAATTGTCACGTTTACCTCTAACGTTATTGGGAATTTTTTAAAATTTATGGAGACTGATAGAATTTTAAAAAATCACAAACTTTCTCTCTCTATCTATCTATCTATCTATCTATCTATCTATCTATCTATCTATCTGTATTCCTTCATATAAAATGCAGTGAAGTTTTCACATACCCGCCATACTAAATGTGTTATAGAAGCGCGAACGGTATAAAGCACATATAACCAAAGCCGATACCTCATCAAATATGTATCCTCGGTATGTATGTATGTATTTAATATTCACGATTTTATCCTACTGCGCGCGTATTTTATACAGAGCCGCGATAATCTTCCTATATTTGCAATGCTGCGCAAAATTCACATGTGGCATTAATTCGTAAATTTCTAAGTCGCCATGTGCGCGCGCGCACAAAGTTGTATCGAGTTGTTAACACTTCCGCCATAATCTTCATTAACCGGTTAATTTGCGCTCGGCAAAAACCGAAGGCACAGTCCGAAGCGCAAACGCGCGTACATGTACCGTATAAAATATGTAGCGCTTGTAATGAGAAATAGTTAGCGAGCGAAAAAAAAAGAGGTCGATATAAAAGAACTTATATACGCGAGAGAGAAAGAGAGCGCGTATATATATATATATATACGCGAAGAGACTCTTATTGGCAAAATTTAATTCGAAAAATATATGAAAATTTTATCTACCATGTATACACACGTCATTATACTCGTAAATTACACACGGAGCATCGCGATTCCAACACACACACACACACACGCATTCGATTCACGTAGTTTTACACAACATTAAGTAAACACTAAATATTCTAGCGCTAATTTGACGTTCGCGTGTACACGTCAAAACAGAATGTTGCCGACGCAACATATTAATGCCTTAATTAAGTGGTTATTTGACCATCAGTATATAAACCGTTATGTTACAACTGATACAGGATTAATGCTCGTTGTGTATTGCAAAAAAAGAAAACCGTTTTATTCCCAAATACATATGCGACGGATAAACGTGAAATGCTGAAAATGTTGAAAATTTATAAAATATGCAAATGTACGGCGAATCGTTCATATTGTCTCTTCAGGAACGCAGTTATAATTATGTAACTGCGAAATTGCAGCGTTCACAGTTAAAGCGCACGTTATACAAACTAACATTGCTGCAGATCATAAATAAATGTCAAATGTCTCTCGTTCCTCACTCTCTCTCTTTCTCTCTCTCTGTGCGCATCTCAGGACCACGCTATAATATACCACTACATAAGTCAAATAT